ACATTTACATGTAATGCTAAAGGCTTTTTTCCCCTGAGACTGTTTAATAAAATTCATACTTGGATTACTGGTGTTGACACTAGGTTGAACATCATATTGGCCTTGTAAGTAAAGTTAGTAAAGTTTAAAGAGTCTCTCCTAAAGATCCAAGTTATTTTGTGATGATATAGATATGTATGTGTGTATTTATATAACCAACAGATATATACACATATATATGTACTTTATGTATACAACATACATATGTATAACATTATTGAATAAGAGTTATGATCTTGAAATAATTCCATTCCTTTGGTGTGAAAGTTTAAAATATTCCTTGATAGAACATAGTTACTATGAATTATAAAAAATATGTCTATAAATTTTATTTATATAAACATGTATTTTACATATGTATGTGAATATATACACTATGCTGTGCTGTGCTGAGTTGCTCAGTCATGTCTGACTCCTTGCAGCCCCATGAGCTGTAGCCCGCCAGGCTCCTCTGTCCATGGGATTCTCAAGGCAAGAACACTGGAGTCGGTTGCCATGCCCTCCGCCAGGGGGTATTCCCAACCCAGAGATTGAACCCAGGTCTCGTTCGTTGCAAACAGATTCCTTATCGTCTCAGCCACCAGGGAGACAAAATATATGCACATGTGTCTGTGAGACTTCACCCCGTTCTAAACACCGCAAGGAGGTTATTTCACCTTCATTATATTGCTTTTAGTATACTTCTCTTTATGCTATAGTCTGTTGAGATTTTTTTTTTTCTCAGATTTTCTTTCCCAGTCAAGTATTTAAGAATCCATCAGGTATATAAACCTTAAACACAGAGCTATATGTCATTTATAATTCAATAGAACCAGAAGGAAAAAAAATCCATTAGGTGTATACTTCTAAGAACGCATCAGGTATATGCTTTCCTTGTCTCTAAACATTAAAAACTAATTCTGTGAATTTTTTGCACCCCTTATAATGTCCTATTGTATGGCTGAGACTAACTTTTCACCTCATCCTCTCCTATTTTCCCATCCTCTTTCATCTGTTTCCCTCTACACGTTTCCGTGAAGTTTTTGCTTGATCCTCCTACTCCTGCCACTTACTATTACTATATAAGCTTCTCTGTTTTGTTTTTGCAGACTCTGATATTAGGATATGAAACTTTTTTTCAGTTGGATCCCTTTTGCTTTTTATCTGTTTTTCTCCCTCTACAGTAAATAGTTTCATGGCAAGGGTATGTGAGTTTTCTCTTTATCTTCTACTATTTGATGTTTTTTTCCCCCACTTTCTAGATATTATTCTTAGTTTATTTGCTTACTTCTTTTAATTTTGCTCTAAAATTTTTTCTAAAAATACTTTAGTGAGGAATTCCCTAGTGGTCCAGTAGTTCTGGTTCTCACTGCCAAGGGCCGGGTTTGATCCCTGATCAGGGAGCTAGGTTCCCGCAAGCTGTGAGGCATAGTCAAAAGACAAAATTACTTTAGTGGTTACAACTAATCTTTTTGCTGCTTTTTCTTCCCTTTCTTATCCTTTTTGTTACTATACAATATCAATATATATCTAGCAAAAATCGATGAATGTATAGACAGGTCTGTGCTGAGTCTTTGCCTGTTATAATTGAATCAAATTAAGCATTTTTTAAAGTTTATATTCATTTATTTCAAGAACTGTGTATGCCTATGTCAGATACAAGTAAGTGCTAATTAAATACATTTGATAAATTGGTGAAATTTTTAGTCTTTGATATTATACTTTATATATTTTTAAGTCATAACTTTTGTTTCAGTATTAATTTTGCCATGTTTATAAGTCATTACTGTATTTGTTCTGTGGAGTTAAGGTTTTATACTTTAACTGTGGACAATGTTGAGCTAATGACATGACATGCTCACCAGCAAACCAGGAAGATAAACTGATGTAACAGCTGGGAAGACCAGCTGGTACTTCCTGGGTTTGAGCTTCTTCCTCATTTAATGAAATGAAGAAATAAAAGTACATTTGCATACTTTAATATTTGTGATACATTTAATACTTGCATTATAAACCTCGTAGCTGTAATATTTCCCAGAACGTTCTCACTTGCTTTTTAAGCCCCCTTGTCATCTTTAATGGCATTAATATTTTGTGGATTCTTGGACTGATTCCTTATGCCTTGGATTACCAAGTTATATTTGTATGTTTTTCATTTTCTTCATGTTTTAGGAGTATCTTTTATATTTCTGTCTAGTCACCAACACTTTATATTTATCTGAATTACTTCAGTAACTTCGGTATCCTCTGTTTATACTTAGAGTAATTCTGTGTTTCACCCTTAAATAATGATGTCACCAGCAATGATACAGTGTTTTGTCATAAGTAATATGTTGAAACTAAAACGTGCCAAGGAATTGCATCTTTTTTTGTCTAAAACTAAGTAAATTATCATTCACTGTTGATGTTTAAAGCACTCTTAGTGAAGTTTGCTTCAGACAATGAGACCCTGACTTTTGAACATTCTTTCAGGCCTTTCTCACTCTGGTTTCTAGGACATTGGGTAAATAAAATTAGGCATACCTTGACTTAATTTCATGGGCCCCAGTCTACAAACAGCCAAAAGATAGTGCTTGGGTATGTGGATTTGGAGCCAAGAATAGACTGCGGGTTAAATGATACAGTGGATTTTCAGCAATGGACCTTTAGCTGACCACACGTATTTTGCTAGTATCTTGTCCCCATACTGCCCCCCTGCCCCACCCCGCCACTACCACTTACTTTTTCTTTTAAATTTCCCTTGGAAATGCTACTGTGGCTCAGTTAGACTTGAAACTAATATGATATTTCCCAGAGGAGTTTACCCTTGCTTTTTTACCTGTTTACTTTGTTTTCAATGTTTAAGCTTTTGTCTTAGGTTTCTTAATACTTAAAGTGAAATTTCTAATGATGATCTTAATCTGGTTTTTCCTTTGATGCTTCTTCCCTAGGTAAATAATTTTGCTTGGTATCTTGTAATCTCTCTTCTTTTCCCAAGTTATCCACGTTCCATTATTTTTTCATATTTCTTCTAGCTTACATCTCTCTCTACAATCAGACTTATGGTTTAGTTGCACTGTAAATTCTGACAGTCTTCCCAATGCAAAATGATATGCCTAGAATCTTTCTCTATTTACATGTAGCAACAAAGTACATATAGGTTATAGTGTTTCATTATTAATAGTAAAATCCATCTTCCCTGATACCAGGTATGAAACATAGTTATCAAATTGGCCATAGATAGTCAGAAAAATGTTGAAAGGTTTCTTACTCACACTTTCTTAGTTGTAGTAGGACTTTAAAAACATCCCACAAGATATGTTTAGTACTATACAAGTATTTCAGGTGTTCCTGTTAAGTTGCTTTAAATTAAACTGAGTGTAATCTAAATGGCTTTTTCTGCAGGACAGCTTCTATAATGTATTGCTAGCACTGCCATTGGGATGCATATGTAGTGATAATTTGGTACTCAGAGTTTTTTTAATTAAACGATTGTAAATATTTCTCTTTCTCAGAATAGGAAGTTAAAGTCATACTTACTTATGCTTATATTGTCTTGGCTTTATTTGGCACAATATAGTGAATAAACTGTAAATGTTTGCTAATATATTAAAGTTTCCAATGATACCCCTTGAGGCATATGCAAGAATCTAGCCACCTGCAGAGTTAGAACAATTCACAAAGACTGCCCTCACCTCTGATACCAATTTCGAGGTTGGAAGATTCCTGGAACCATTCTCAGGTTCAATAATTTGCTACAAAACTTCACAGAACTAATTGGAAAGTATTACATTGACATTTACAGTTTATTATAAGGAAAGAATTCAGATTAAAATCAGCCAAGGGGAAAAGTGCGTAGGGTAGAGTCTGGGAAAGGTACCAAAGACTGAACTTTTGTCTTCCTCTCCCTGAGGAGTCATGGACAAGTTACTTTCCTAGCATCTGTTTGTGTCAATACTCACAGAGTATTGCCAACCAAGGCAGCTCACTAGAGCCTTGGTGCCCAGAGTTTTTAACTGAGGCTCCATCACATACTGCCTATATGGCTGGCCTTTACTTGCCAACCCTTTTCTAGTAAGAACTGGTAACCGCATATCCCAGAGTCTCCAGGCAAACAATGATATTCCTGTTGAGGTGTGAAATTCCAAAGTCCTATAGATTGTCTTCCAGGGCAAAATCACTACTGGGAGATGATCTCTTTGGGTAAGATTAACTCCTCACTGTACAAGGTACCATCTGCAAATTCAGTAACATACTTTTGGAGATTCTAACCCTTTATTTGAGTCTACACTCTAAATATACGTGAAAACTTTTTTCAAGAAAGTGTTGTACATTTCTCTTCAATGTAGTGGTAAGCTTTCATTATAATTTTCGTTATTATGTCCTTCATGAATATCTCTCTCTTCATTTCTTGTTTCTACTTAACAACACCTATGCCCTGTCTTGTACTTCCTATTTTAAGCTAATTTAATGTTAAAGAATCCTTAGTATTTAGATACCTGCATTTCACTGGTTATTTCTGATGAATAACAACAACTTATGGCTTATTTTCTCCATGTAGCTCTTTAATCTACTAAACACTTTTTAAACATTTTGTCAAGATTAACCAAGTCTTTGAGGAATATTTTCTCCCATTTTCCAAGTGGAGAAATTGGGCCATAAAATTATTTCAAGACCAAATTAGTTGTAAGAGTAGTTTTTCTGTTCTGCTTAAATTCTGCAAATGATGTAGTTACTTGCTGAAACCAAATTTCATTATGTTCAAGCCTCAATGATTTTCTGACCACAAGATATCTGAAAGAAAGCTCTTACTACACTTATAGATATATAAGGTATATGTAGAAAGGGTAAGTTTTGTTGTAGATATATTTTGGTCTACTTCATTAATTCAGTATTCTACTGTAGCAGAATAAATGAAATGCTACTTTGAATAGAAATGGTTAAATTTGGACACTAACATTGCTCTTTCCTCATTACTGTTACATTCTGCACTGCCGTCTTAGGATGTCAACCATGGATTAACTGAGGTAAGTTTGGTGTAATAAAGTCTCCTGTTCAGAGTAAGATATACTCTGTGTTGTCTTAAGTGATTGGAGATCCCAAGCTTCCTCTTTTTTGTGACTGTAAAACATATATATATTTTATATATATATATATATATATATGAATGAGTATATAGAACTTGCCCTATATAACATTTCAGAGGAATTTTCTGAATAAAATTAGACCCTTTTTTCTTTAGTTAACATTACACCTATATGATGCCTTTTAACAATGTTTGTTTTAAAATATTTCCTATCCTTTTAAAGTCTTTCAGAATAAAATTTATAGTGTCCTCAGAATACAAAAAAAAAGCAAACTTGTAAAGTTTAACGAATGCCTACCCAGAGGGCAGAAAATATTTTATGTTGGAGAAGTAGAATTATCTTCAGTTTTTAAACTAATAATTGAAATTCAACATGGTCATAAAATTGAATAAACTTTCAAAGTTCTAGCATTTTGGCTTACATAATCAACAATCCTGAACCACCTTTTTTTTAACACTTGGGAATTTTGTATTATACTTCTGTTACAGAATACATTAGGTTTTATTGTTTACTTTGCTTTTTTTCCCAGCACTTGAATCAATGACATATTTAGAATTAGCTTTAAATTATAGGCCCAACATTGTTTGCTTCCTCACCCTCAAATAAAAGCAACATATAAAATTATGAAATCAAAGAGTTCTGGGGCTGACGACGACTTTAGAAATTGTCTCAGTCTTCTAGTTTCAGAGTAGTAAAAAGACTAGAAAAGTTATCAATAGCTGGTTAGTGACACAAATACAGGGTGGAGGGTAAAATTGTCATGAAAAATAGCAAAGAATGATAACTTACTTAAGGATTAATATAACTCAGCATATTGTCTTACATGTTGAGAACAACAAATTGATAATCTTGTGTTCTATGTGGATAGGGCGTTATTGAATTATTTCATTGTTTTTGATGGCCATAGTTAAAAGAGAAGTGGACAGATTGAAATATATTTAAAAGATGGTGGTTGGGATGAAGTTGGAATGGGATGAAGTAGAGTTGGAAACCATATTTTTTAGGATGGTTGGAAAGACTGGGCATGTTTAGTGTGGAAAAAAGACAACTTAGGGAGAACATGGCAGCATGAAGTATCTAAACCGTATAAACTTCCCTGTAGGGGCAGAATGAAGATTGAAATACAAAACAAAGTGATATATAAAAATGCAGATTCAGACTTAACATAAAAAGGTTTCTAAGAACTTGAAGAGAGTTGCTTCTTGGTATATTAAGTCTTCACTGGAAGCCTTACAAGGAGAAGGGGCTCGTCAGAACTAGCACAAAAATTTTGCTTTGTTGGATACACAGTAGAAATACATCCTCTAGCTGATCTGTGACTGGCAGTTCATAGCTCTTTGTATTTTTCTGGCCTATTAAAAACTTGGCAGTCAATCACTACTTCATCTGCTAGGATAAATAATTATCGATAAGGTGACTAATATCTGATAATGATAATAAAAGATCAACTATTATTGATCAGCTTGTAGGTTGACAGAAAATAATAGTACTAATCATGCTTATTTTGTATGTTGAATGAACAAATTTTGGGGCTCACAATAATGTTGGCACCCTACGGCATGCAGTAAATATCTGTTGAATGAATAAGTAGATTGCTTATCATTAGCCTCAGTTGCTAGAGTAGCCCTAACATATAAGAACTGGGTACTGTATTTAACAGAGGATCCCCAAATTTTGAATAAATTTCCAATCTAGTTCACTGAAACTTCGAGTTTAATATAGGTTAAGCAAAAGATATCTGTAATTTACAATTTTATGGGTTCCTATGTATACAGTTCTCTCCCCAAATTGGGAATTAGGGTTCTTTATTCCAGTGCTTCATGTAATTATCAGTATAATTCCTGAATGACCCAAAGCAAATAAACCAAGAATATAATCAACTTTACATAAGAAATGACAGTACCTACAAGAAATACGTCACAAACCAGTTTGTACTAATAAGCTAATTTTTTATTTCCAGTTGGCAGATATCCCTGTTACAATCTGCACATATCCATTTGTATTTGATGCCCAAGCAAAAACTACTCTGTTACAAACAGATGCAGTCTTACAGATGCAGGTAAAATGTTGTATAGTACTAGTTTAACTTGAGAGTAGTTTTTGAATTGTTTCTGCAGTGTTTTCTTAAATATTTGAAATGTCTTTGGGGTTACTTTGTACCTTTGTAGTCTGTCTTTTGCAAAGGTACTTTTACCAAGGTATCTTTAGTACCTATAAGACTGTCGGATGTAAATTGTGCGTTCTTATAAGGGATACTTAAATATATGTAAAAGGAAATAGAATAATATATATAGGATATAAGGAAATAGAATTTAGATTTTTATCATTTTATATCTTAAAATGGTATAATTTTTCGTTACAGAAATATGTAGCCTTTATAAACAGTTTGATTTGTTTTCTTGATAAACTGTTGGTTTGTTTAAAATCTTGCTGTATTATATATTCCCTACTTATGTACTTAGTAGAAGATGAAAGTGAGTAGAGATGAGATGATGTTAAAGTAGGAGGCATTTGATCACACGTTTGGGAGGAGGGTATGAAATTTCTGTGAAGAATGTTTTAGTAATAATAAGGTGTTTTCTTGAGGTTGGTTGTCTCCTCTTCTTTGCTCTTTTCCTCCCCCCACTTATGTTGAGTATTTTTTCCTTTATAATGAGAATTTTAAAAACTAGTTGACATTGTGAATATGAAGGAATACAATAAGTTTACTTTACCTTTTGAACCTGTAAATTAAAAAGGTTTTAGTTTTTTCCTCTGATATAGAATATCAGACTATAGAGGCTGAGGACTAAGAAAGGATGAGATGAGACCTTGGGTACTTAATATTCTAAAAATGCTTTTAAAAATAACTCCTGTCCCAGTTTTGTTAGCCGTTTCTATTCCTTTAAAATAAACGCATTTGATATTCTAAATTCTTCCATATTTTTAAACAATAAGTAATACAAGGAGGAATTTTAGAGCTGCACTTATTTCTGTTTTCATCAATGGAAGAAATAAGTATTTTTGCAAGGTTCTATACTAACAATTGGATTGCTGATTTTTTTTAGCAGTCTTTGTTAAAACAGTTACTTGGTGCTTTCAATGTAGGATATTTCATTTTAGAGCAAGAACACATAGAAAATCACAGGGAAAAAAAAAGCTTTAAATGGTAAAAGCCAAGTGTTTGGAGTGTGAGCACAAAAGGTGATCACTTTGCGCTTCCCTGTGACTCAGCAGTAAAGAATCCACCTGCTACGCAGGGCCCTGGGTCGGGAAGATGCCTTAGAAGAGGAAATGGCAACCCACTGCAGTAAGCTTGCCTGGGGAATCCCATGCACAGAGGAACCGGGTGGGCTGTAGTCCATGGGGTTGTAGAAGAGTCAGACATAATTTAGTGACTAATAACAACATGGTGATCAATCTATTAGATGACTTCCTATAAACCTTTTAGTTGACCAGGCTGTTTCTTATTCTATGGAAAGGTATGTTTTAATGCTATTTTCTTTTTCTCCACACTCTCTATCCTAGTTATTTTTTGAGAGACAACAGTGTTCAGGTTTATCATTATTATTATAGTTCCATGCTTATTTAATGGTATCATCAATTATACATTACTATAAAAATTTGAAAAGGACACTTTATTTCTCAGAATATAGTTTATTAAGCTCTGATGCTGTGCTAAATACTGTTAGGTGCTAAGTGAATTCAGTAATACAGGAATTTGTTTTTATTGTTCAGTTGCTGAGTTGTGTCCAACTCTTCACAATCCTATGGGCTGTAGATATCTATAAATAAGTAGAGGTTAGCTTATCCAGTCATATTAGCTTCTTCATAGCATTGTCACTGAATTTTTAATCTTTTGTTTTCTAGATGGCTATTGACCAGGCCCACAGACAGAATGTCTCCTCTCTTTTTCTCCCAGTGATTGAATCTGTGAACCCTTGCTTAATTCTAGTGGTACGTAGGGAAAATATTGTAGGAGATGCAATGGAAGTCCTTAGGAAAACAAAAAATATAGACTACAAAAAGCCACTCAAGGTAATTTAACATTTTCTGTTATATAATTGGAACTTTATTCAGAAAATATGTTTAAAGTTTTCCTGTTTATTTTTAGTATCTTTGAATCTTAATAAAAATATACTTAAACAAAATTATAGTTATTAATTGATGAACATTTATTCATAATAAATAATGTGTTATAGAGTCTCCAGAGTATACTTTCATTTCTTTACACTCAGTGTTTGCATTATCCTCTTTTAGGTTATATTTGTTGGAGAAGATGCTGTTGATGCAGGAGGGGTACGCAAGGAATTTTTCTTGCTTATCATGAGGGAATTATTGGATCCTAAATATGGCATGTTTAGGTATTACGAAGATTCCAGACTCATTTGGTTTTCTGATAAGGTAAAAAGTCCAAACATCTGAATTACTTTTGTAAATAAATACACACGTACACCCCTATATATTTCAACTTAACTCAGTAATAAATAGGAGTTATCACTAGCTTCCTAACATTCACAGATCTGTTTTATCACAATTTTAAAAATCATAAACTTATGGACTTACAGTCATCAAAACAGATTATGCTTGTCACACATTTCAAATTAGCAAAATTAATTAAGGAATGGTCAGCCTGAAAAATGATGTTGACTGTTCTGATGAGTTAGATTTGAAGATTGAATAGCTACCAGATTAACTTTCATTCTGGGGAGAATTAATTTATCATTAGGGGTCATCGATTTCTCTCCTGTATCATATAGGGCAGAGATAACTATGCAGCAAACTACATTTCATGATCTGAGTTCTTCCCATCACATAAAGTCAGTGCCTGCTCATTTACCTATTTTCCATTGCTGTGTGTGCATGCTCAGTCACTAAGTCATGTCCAACTCTGTGCAGCCCAATGGACTGGAGCCCACCAGGCTCCTCTGTGCATGGGTTTTTCCAGGCAGGAATACTGGAGTGGATTACCATTTCCCTTTTCTAGGGAATCTTCCCAACCCAGGGATCAAACCCACGTCTCCTATATATCCTGCATTGGCAGGTAGATTCTTTACCACTGAGCAGCCCTCCACTTTCTAGCTAAAACTGGCAGAGGCAGAGTTGAGTAGTTATGACAGAGCCCCTGTGGCCAACAGACCTAAAATATTTACTATCTTCCCCTTTACAGAAAAAGTTTGCTGGCCCCTAATTTAGAAACTAAGTGAAATGGGTGGTTCAGTTTGTAGAACTCTTGAGTTGAAAGAAATTTAAATTATGTACTATTTGTTCTAAAAACCTTGATGTATTATTTAGTCATTTCTTCCAGGAGACTGTCCTTTGTGACATTAGCAGTCATTATGATCAATGCCTAGACTAGTTAATGTATTAGGGGTTGCAAAATGATGCTACACTTAATTCTGACATTTCTTTTTCATTTTTGTAGCTTAAATACTTGTAAGGAAATTTCCTCATCTACTATTTGATCCTTAGTAATACAGTTCATATGGGATCTTTTACATTCTCTCTCTGTAGTTCTTATTTTTCAAAAGAATGAATCTATTCATTAGCATACTCCAGGGGTGACAATTCATCTTTTGATTTTGTTTTCAGATATTATTGTATATTCATGGGTTAAACATATATTTGATGTTTTTCAGTCCGTTGCTGTATGCTGTGCTCAGTCGCTTCAGTTGTGTCCAACTCTTTGCAACTCCACAGACCATTGCCCAACAGGCTTCTCTGTCTGTGGGATTATTCCAACGAGAATACTGGAGTGGGTTGCCATGCCCTACTCCAGGAGATCTTCCCAGCCCAGGGCTCAAACCTACGTCTCTTGCATCTCTGGTGGATTCTTTCCTGCCGAGCCACTAGGGAAGCCCTTCAATCCATTGCAGTTATTATCTTTACTGATATTATCCCGTTTTTGTCAGGAGGGCTCTTCAACTTGGCACCTGAGTCCTTTTGATACAGTCTTTATACTCTGCTTCCCAGATAATAATACTCAGGCTTCCCAGGTGGTACCAGGGGTAAAGAATTCTCGTGCCAATGTAGGAGACGTAAGAGACATGGGTTCAGTCCCTAGGTTGGGAAGATCCCCTGGAGTGAATGACACTCCACTCCAGTATTCTTCCTGCAATAATCCCATGGACAGAGAAGTCTGGTGGTCTGCTGCAGTCCATGAGGTCACAGAGAGTCAGACACAACTGAGTGTCTCAGCACTAATACTCTTTTAAGTAATTTCTTTGCTCCCTGGTGTACTTGGTATGATAAAATGTTCTAGACTTGTACATTACTGCCTAACAATATCAGCCTTTCAACCAATATGATGATGACTGAAAATACAGTTGACCCTTGAACAATAGAGATTTGAACTGTGTATTTTCACTTATATGCACATTCTTTTCAACAAATATATACTGTGATTCTACACTATCCTCAGTTGGTTGAATCTGCAGATAGAAGACCAACTAGAAGATTATACTCAAGTTTTTGACTGCACAGGGGATCAGCGTTCCTAACCCCTGAGATGTTCAAGGGTCAACTGTAGTTCTGTTTTGTTTTAAGTATTTTCTGGGTTTTTTGCCTGTTGAGTATACCCTAGGAGAGAAGCAATCAAATAACTATTTTGATATCACTTGAAATTGGTACACTCTATATCATTATATCAAGTGGATGCATACTTAGATTAACTTGTAGAATTTAATTTTGATTTTCAGGGATTGCTTATTTAAATTTAATTTAGTCTTATAATTATATGAAATATTTATATAGCTCCAAAGTCAAGTCTACAAAATAAGGTATCTAAAAGAAGTCTAGCTTTTGTTTCTGCCCTCTCCACTGTATTTCCTCCCTCTTCTTAAAGGTATTTTTTGAAAAGAAATGTTATGGTTTATCCTTTTTTGAAAAAAATAAATATAAGTACCAGTGTCAGATTCTTGGTTTTAACTATGGTTATTTACACTGTTATCATTGGGTAAATCTGAGTAAAGGGTATAATATATACTGTACTATTTCTGTAATTTCTTGGGAGTCTTAAAGTATTTTAAAATAAGTAGTATTTTTTTTTAAAGAAATGGTATACTATACATATTTTTTCCTCCATCAAGAAAGGGTACTTTATTTACAAGAGAAAGTGAAGCATGTTTGCTTGTTGTTGTGATTAATTACTTGGAAAGTAGAAAATCAGTCATGTGAGAGGGGTTATAAACTGCAGGAGCAGAGTCCTTGAATTGTAAAGAAAGGATAGAGTTGGGTATCCTAGTGGAGATCGGCCTGTGTTAGACACAGATCAATAATATCATGAGTCAAAGCCAAATGTATATGTAAATACAAATCTCTTGGTTAGATTTGATGGTGGGACGTTGTGAAAGTTCACAGAGTTATTTCTACTTCACGGTGAAATAAGATGCATGTTTGTTAGAAAGTTAGAGTACAGGGAAGGTTGTTGGAATCTTGAAGGAGAAAGGAGAAAGAGTGAAATAATAACCCAAGGGAGTGGATCTCTCTTACCTTTTCAGTTATATCTTGATTTGGACAACAGGAGCCCTATAGAGCCGACGCCTTCTTAGTGTACTTGACATGTCCCCATTTTTCTTTCATTATTCTTTACATTTGGTACACAGTTTGGTACAGAAAATGTTCCATGCTGGTTTTCTGTTTTCCATACCCTAATCCTGACACTAGCCATTTCTTCTAAGGACCCTGACTTCTTTAAGTATAAAATGGTATTTAGAAATACAATTGTGGATGCTAAGTGTACTCATTGGTACCAAGGATCATTGCTTTCAGAGTCTCACAGCAGACAAAACTATGAACTATATGTATATATGTCACATGGCACATATCTCCTGGCTTTCAACATATTATGGATATTTATGTATACATGTACATATACACACATGTAAAACCATGAGATGATACTGATACCTCTAATTCTGTACAAACACTACAGAGTTTACTTTGGCCTTCTCCTTTTCACTTAAGTCACAAGTGAAAAACTTCACAGTTAGTAGCTAGTCTGCTGGCTATCTTGGCTAAAAGCTCAGCCCCAGACATACTGGATCACCGCCTCAGAGAAGGTGTAGGAAGGAGGGAGGAATGCAGAGGGCTGTATGTTCTTTTTAATTTAATATTATTTTTTAATGAAGTAAAATTTACATAACTAAGTTCTTCCTTTTAAGAATTTTTTAAATACACAGTTCAGGGGCATTTAGTACATTCACAGTGTTGTGCAGCCCTCACCACTATCTGGTTCTAATTCATCACCTCAAAAGGAAGCTTGTAGACATAAGCAGTTTCTCCCTGTATCCTTTCATCCTCAGACAATCACTGCTTTACTATCTTACTTCCATGGGTTTGTCTGTTCTTGATATTTGCTGTTAATGGAAACCGTATAATTTAATGGCCTTTGGTATCTGACGTCTCTCATTTAGGATAAAGTTTCCAAGGCTCATCCACTTGTATTATGTGTCAGTACTTTATTCCTTTTTGCAGCTGAATGATACTTTGTTGCATAGCTATACCACATTTGTTTTTTCGTTCCTTAGTTGATGGACATTTTGGGTTGTTTACCTCTTTTGGAGAAATACTCTTGAATAGTACTAGTATGAAAACTTGTGTGCAAGTTATTGTTTGCAGTTATTTTGGATATGTACTTATGAGTGGAATTGTTAGGTGATGTGATAATTCTGTTTGACTTTTTGAGGAACCACCAGGTTGTTTTCCACAATGGCTGAACCATTTTACATTTCCATTAGGAATATATGAGGATTCCAGTTTCAACCTTTGCTACTTTCTTTTTTTTTTTTAATATATTTTAAAATGTATTTTATGCATATGTATTTATTTCTTCTTACTGTAGTGGGTTTGAAGTGGTATCTCATTGTGATTCAGTTTGCATCCCCTGCTGACTAATGATGTATTTGTTTGGCCATTTGTATACCTTCTTTAGCAAAATGTCATTTTTAAGTTGGATTTCTGTTGTTGTGGCTATTTTAAGAGTTCTTTTATGTATTCTGGATACTGGATCTTTGAGAAATATATGATTTGCAAATACTCTTTCCCACTCTGTGAATTAACTTTTCACTTTCTTGATCATGTCCTTTGGTATCAAAAGTTTTAAATACTGGTAAAGTCTTTTCTGGATCTGTTTCATGTATTGTTGCTTGTGCTTTTTGGTGTTACAACTTAGAAACCATGTACAAATTCAAGGCCATGAAGATTGACCCCTGAGTTTTCTTTATAAAAGTTTTATGGTTTTTGCTGTTATATTTAGGTCTTTGATAGATCATGAGTTCATTTGACTATGGTTTGAGGTAAGAGTGCAACTTCATTCTTTGTATGTTAATACCTGGTTGTCTCACCATTATTAAAGAGACTAATATTTCCCCATTGAATAGTCTTGGCATCCTTGTTGAAAATTAATTGTCTATCATTATATGGATTTATTTCTGGACTCTCAATTTTATTCAAATGATGTATATGTCTATTCTTATGCTAGTACTACACTGTCTTGTTTACTATAGCTTTGTAGATTTTCAAATTGCAATGTGTTAGTCCTCCTACTTTCTTCTTCCTATTCAAGATTCTTTTGACTATTAGGAATCCTTTGCAATTCTGTATGAATTTTACAGTTAGCTTTCCATTTCTGCAAAAAAAAAAAAAAAGACCATTGAGATTTTGCTAGAGAATACATTGAATCTGTACATCAGTTTGGGGAGTATTATCTTCTAGTCTATGGACATGGAATATCTTTCCAGTTATTTAGGTCTTTTAATTTCTTTCAGCACCATTTTGTAGTTTTCAGTGTACAAGTCTTACACTTCTGTGGTTATATTTATTTCTAATTATTTTGTTCTTTTTGATGCTGCTGTAACTGGAATTGTTTTCTTAATCCGGTTCAATGCATGATAAGGGTGCTCGGGGCTGGTGCGCTAGGATGACCCTGAGGGATGGGATGGGGAGGGACGTGGGAGGGGGGAACACATGTATACCCATGGCAGATTCATGTCAATGTATAGCAAAACCAATACAATATTGTAAAGTTAAAAAGTTAATAAATAAAACTGAAAAAAAAATCTTAACACCCATTCATGATAAATAAACTCAACAAACTAGGCATATAAGTGAATTTCCTTAACATGACTCAAGGAGTTTATGAAAATCCATAGCTGACATTCCACTCAGATCAGGAAAAATTGAGAAGCATGTCCACTCTCACTATTTGCATTTGAAAACATTGGAAGTTCTAGGCAGGGCCACTAGATAAGAAAAAGAAACAGAACCTGGATTGGCAGTTCATTTCACACATGATAATTTACGTTTTTCAATGTCATCCTTCCATATCATCCCGCCCTTGCCCTCTCCCACAGAGTCCAAAAGTCTGTTCTATACATCTGTGTCTCTTTTGCTATCTCGCATACAGGGTTATTGTTACCATCTTTCTGAATCCCATATATATGCATTAGTATACTGTATTGGTGTTTATCTTTCTGGCTTACTTCAGTCTACCTTATTGGAACTGATTCGAATGTATTCTTTTTAATGGCTGAGTAATACTCCATTGTGTATATGTACCACAGCTTTCTTATCCATACGTCTGCTGATGGGCATCTAGGTTGCTTCCATGTCCTGGCTATTATAAACAGTGCTGTGATGAACATTGGGGTGCACGTGTCTCTTTCAATTCTGGTTTCCTCAGTGTGTATGCCCAGCAGTGGGACTGCTGGGTCATATATGGCAGTTCTGTTTCCAGTTTCTTAAGGAATCTCCACACTGTTCTCCATAGTGACTGTACTAGTTTGCATTCCCACCAACAGTGTAAGAGGGTTCCCTTTTCTCCACACCCTCTCCAGCATTTATTGCTTGTAGACTTTCGGATAGTAGCCATTCTGACTGGCGTGAAATGGTACCTCGTTGTGGTTTTGATTTGCATTTCTCTGTTAATGAGTGATGTTGAGCATCTTTTCATGTGTTTGTTAGCCATCTGTATGTCTTCTTTGGAGAAATGTCTGTTTAGTTCTTTGGCCCACTTTTTGATTGGGTCGTTTATTTTTCAGATTTTTTTTTTTTTCTGCATCAGTTGAGGTGATCTTGTGGTTTCTTTCCTTCGTTCCATTATGTGTTGTATTACATTGGTTGATTTTCTTGTGTTCAACCACCTTGCATTCCTGGACTTGGTCATGGTGTGTAATTCTTTTTATATGCTGCTGGATTCAGTTTGCTAGTATTCTGTTGACAATTATTCTGTTATTATTACGAATACTGCTTTATGGTTTTCTTTGGGGTGTGTGTGTGTGAGAGATGTCTTTGTCTGGCTTTGTTGTCATGGTATCCCTAACCTCATAGAATGAGGTTAAGAACTGTTTCTCTTCCTTTTCTAAGACTTTGAGATTGATAGATGTTAATTCTTCTAAATGTTTGGTAGAATCTGGTCTCAGGCTTTTGTTGGAAGGTGTTTGATTGATGGTTCAATCTCTTGTTACAAGTTTCTTTAGGTTTTCTAATTCTTCTTATGTAAGTTTGTGTGTTTGTAGGAATTTATCCATTTCATCTATATTATCTATTTTGGTGGCATTCGGTTATTCATAGTTGTGGCTTAATTACTCATTATTGTCTTATAATCCTTTTTTTTTTTTAAATAAAGTCAGTAGTAATGTCCACATTTTCAGTCCTGAATCTAGTAAGTTTTCTCTGTTTTTTTCTTGGTCACTCTAATAGAGGTTTGTTAATTTTGTTGATCTCCACTTTAACTTTTATTAATTTCCCCGTCTGCTAGGTTTGAGTTTGGTTTACTCTTCTTTTTGTAGTTCCTTAGGATATAAAGTTATTTATTTGAGGTATTGTTTCTTTTTAAATTTAGATGCTTACAACTATAAAAATTTATTTTTGAACACTGCTTTCCCTGTCTTCCATAAGTTTTTTGATGATGTGTTTTCATTTTTAGGAGTCCAAGTATCCTCTGATTGCCCTTGTGGTGGTGCCTTCTTTGACTAATGGGTTTTTTAAAAATGTTATTTAATCTCCATGTCTCTGTTAATTTTCCATATTTCCTTCTGATGTTGATTTCTAGTTTCATTCCATTATGTCCTGTAAAGGTTTATTTTATGACTTTATTCTTTTAAAATGTAACCATTTAAAATTCATCATTTGTTGGTTTTGTTTCTTACTCATCCAGTTTTCTTGTGTTTGTCTCTTGTCTTTTCCTTATAATTCTTGGCTGTTTATTATTTTAGAGTGTGACACTGAAATGCTACCTAGATACTTTTGTGTATGGTCATATGCACTAAACCATTTATGTTTATGGACCCCACTCATAAAGTGATTAGGTAGAGGTCTTTCAAGGATGAACCTGCATATGTCAGCATGTTTAAGTTTTTTACTGTTTATGTTTACAGGGACGGTTGTAGCCCTGGCTACAATGTTCTAGTAGTGTTCTAGACACTGGAAAGGGAAGCTAGGATTCCTGTTGTTCACTGTGTAGACTTCCGTTTGATCCCTTTGTTTTTGAAGCAGGACCCCAAGCATCAGTTGTCTCAGATTCCAGAGCTTCTTTGATTCATCCTTTCTAGAAAGTCAAAGGCCTCTCCCGTCAAGCATCCTGTTGTCAGCCCTTCTCTGATACGTGACTCACAGAGTTAGGTTTTACTGGCTGAGCTGCTGGAGTACCCCTGACTTCACAGGGAGAGACGGGCCCTGTCGGTCCTGAGCCTGCGGCATAGATGAGCTTGCGTTTTTTTACTGGCTTTCTCTGCAAACTACTGTTTCCGTTTTTTTTGCTTCACCAAATCAACCAGAGACTTATTTTTCATATTTTGAGATAATGAGATCTCTTTTGTGCTGTTGAAACTCTTCCCTATTCTTTTTTCTTGTGAATTTATGCCATTTATTCCTGTATTCTCATCTGGAGGGATTTCTGGAAGAAGAGATATTAACACATATTCAGTCTGCCCTATTTAAGGACTTTTTGAACTTCAATACAATGTAGGGACATCACAGAAGAAAAAGATAAATCTGACCAATGAAAAATACGAGATAACAAAACATAAAAGGCATGTATATACTGAATATGACACAGGGTAATAACCCTAACATATGATGTATTCAAATATAAACATATAAGAAAACACTAGCCCCTAAAAGATAAATGGGCCAAGTACACAAAAAGACTTTTCAAAAGCACACACAAATCTATAATTTTTAGTATCACTAGTAGTAAAAAATGTACAGTGAAACAGCTTGTCATTTTTTAACTCAAATATATTTTATGTGTGTATTTAGATGAAAATGTAGAAAGATAGTCATTTTCCTGGACTACAATGGCAGTATAAGCTAGAACAGTGGTGGAGGAAAAGAGTTTTTATGGTATGCTTAGCATTCCTTTGACTTTGAAATTCTTCCTTGCAAAGCAGAATTTCTTCTATGGAAATATTCCAAACTATGGACCAGTATATATACATATACATATATATATATGCAAAAAAGATACCCATCTTATTTTGAAAATTACTAGCTAATTAGAGTATTTATTGAACCTTTACTGTGTGCTGTAAGAACTATGCTAAAAGCATTTTACATATATTATTCCACTTAATCCTCACAATAACCTTATAAGATTAATACAGCTTTTGTCTTGAGAACACTGAGACTCTATAGTGAATGAACTGTGCCTGGAGCCCCAGATCTAATTTAAAATTTTCTTGCTGTTAATTACATGCTCACAGTTTTCCTGTGACCATATATTAATTCTTTAAAAATTATTGAATCTTTAATTCTTTAAAGATTACTGAAGGAAACAAGCATTGTTTTTAATATTTTAATTATCTAGATGTCCAACTATAGTTATTAATAGCTAATTTAGCAAGCCTTAATAGCTAATTTAGCAAGCCATGATACTTTTATGTGATTAATATGCAGCCATTAAAAATCATGTTCTGGAAGAGTAATGACATAAGAAAATACTTGTGTTGTAATTAGAAAAATGAGAAAACCTTGAATATGTTTTATATTATTTTTCTGAACTTATAGTAGACAGAAATACATTAAAAACTTCTAAAATCATTGTCCCAGGTGTTTCTAAGTGATTGAGTTATGGGTATTTAATTCAGTTTCTTCCATAAGCTTTTTATTTTTCAAATTTTGAATGTGTATAATTTTTTAAATCAGAAAAAAGTTCTAGTAATCATTTATTAATATAATGCTTAGTGATATGAAAATGATTATATTTCTGGGGGTAAAGTTAGTTGTGAAATTATATATATAGTATCATCTCAACTGGATTTTAATTTTGTCTCTCCTAGAAAGTACATTGAATGAAAATGTGCAAAAATACTAACAATAATATTGCCCCAGGGAGATAGGAATGAGAATGAACTTTTTTCTTGTTATTCATTAATTTTTTCTGTATTTTCAGACATTTGAAGACAGTGATTTATTCCACTTGATTGGTGTTATCTGTGGATTAGCAATTTATAATTTTACTATTGTGGACCTCCATTTTCCTTTGGCTTTATATAAGAAACTGCTGAAAAAGAAGCCATCCCTGGAAGATTTGAAAGAACTGGTCCCTGATGTTGGGAGGTTAGTTGTAAAAAGTGGCAAGAATGGGGTTTAGAAAATAGGAAAATGGGGGAGATATAGAAGTTTGTTTTTAGGAATAATTATGTTTCTGTTGTTCTTGTTGAATTTCCAAAATAAACTAATAGCTCTTCTAATAAAGGAAAAAGCCATTGTGAGAATTTTCTACTGAAAGAGTTATATGTATAAAGCCATGAGCTAAATTTTTAGTTTAATAATACTTTGTGAATATCAGATAATAAATTTAGGAGGTAATGTTTCCTGAATGTAGTTAAATAATTTATTTGGACTTTTACTTCTAATCGCCTTCATTCCCAGGTAGAATATGTAGTTTCTTTTTATTACATTAAATGGAATAAAAAATTATATGTAAGAACAAGTATTGAAAATGGGTGCATACATGGCCTTTGTATTCAAAGGAAGAGGTAAAAACCTTAGTTTTTTTCTCTTCAGCATTGTTTATAAATCTGCCAGTCACTCAGTTGTGTTCAACTCTTTGTAAGCCCATGGACTGCAGCCCACCAGGCTCCCCTGTCCATGGGATTATTCAGGCAAGAATCCTGGAATGAGTTGCCATTTTAGGGGGTCTTCATGACCCAGGGATTGAACCTGGGTCTCCTGCGTTGCAGGCAGATTCTTCACCATCTCAGTCACCAGGGAAGCCCTAAAACATATATGTAAGAACAGATATTGAAAATGGGTGGATACATGGCCTTTTTATTCAAAGGAAGAGAGAAAAATCTTAGTTTTTTTTTTCTTCAACATTGGTTATAGATTTTCTTGTACAACCACCATTCTGAAACAAACATAAAAGTACAAATTAGCAAAAGGATTTGACCAAGAATGAGTGAGAAATATATACCTAGTCATAGGCAAACTAGTCAAAATACACAATTATATTTTACTTCAGAGCAACATACATATTGTTTTTCAGAAGCATGCAACAGTTACTGGATTATCCCGAGGATGATGTTGAAGAGACATTTTGTCTTAATTTTACGGTAAGATGGAAAGACATAGAGTAGTAGCTTGATTGTTCATAATCCCTTTTATTTATCAGCTATGCCTTATGGTTTTTATTTTGATGAATGGAATTCTTAAAGAACCCTTTAGCTAACATTTATTGAGCATTAACTATATGCTAGTCACACGCATTATTTCATTTAATCCTCATAATCCCAAGAGATCGGTATTATTATCCTTATTTTACAGATGAGAAAACTGAAAACAGTTGTCACATTTCAGAGATAGTATTTGTATCCAGCTCTGTGACTGGATAAGCCTGTGTTGTTTAACGTTATACTAAAGATCTTTACAGATACAAGGGGTCCTCTTTATACAAGTGTTCATTTTTTGAGTCTGCAATCACAAGAATAGAGAAGCAAAGGTTATTGTAATGTGAGAATATCCACTAATGAATTTGCCATCTAAAATATTAATTCCCACTCAGACATCCCTTTTATACTAACATTCATCCTTGTGAATTTTGTCTTACTCTTGGATGCAGTGCAATATAAATGGAAATACATTGAAATATTTGGAAAATGAAATTACAAATCTTAAAAAAGATGTAGAATTTAATTCAGTGAGAGGGATGTTCAATAAATCATCTAGTCTTTATGTAGAAACATTGATAAATGAGGATCTGGCAGAAGTAGACTAGTTGATAATTAAAGGAGAGAAAAATCAGCAAGGATTATGATAAGGCACTTCAGAAGTAACTGTTTGAATACTATAAATTAGACTCTTGGGAAAATGGTAAAAACCTTCAGTTTTTCTTTTTTCCTGTCTATTCTTATCAAAAACGTCATGTGCCCTCCTCCCCTCGCCCCCCATACCCTCAAACTGTCCTCTTTGTGTCTTTATAGTCAGAGCTGACAAAAGATGCCATATTCTTGTATCATACAGTTTGCCAAAAAAATTATGTGCCCCCTCAAAAATGTTTGTCCATTCTTTGGTCATTTTAAGAATTGGCACATAGTGCAGTTATAAGAAATTTGACAGGTTTAAAGGGAAATAGGTTAATTTCTTTTAGTAATATTTAACTTTTTTCAAGAAAAAGTCGTCCTTGAATTCATATTTACTATGAAATTTTAGTTCTCCTTTTCAGTTGATGCACTTAATAACCCTGTCAGTTTTCTTTGGATCTTTACTGAACATCTCAATTGACAGAAGCATTGAATTCTAAGCAATTTAATTGATCAGTCATTAAGTTTGTGAATGTTTAGTAAGAGCTATATAGTAATTCAGACATTCCTTCCCACTGTCATTTCTTCCCCAGACACACTCAGCAGCTCTTTGCTACTTACAGAATAATAGCTTTAGAATGGACTTCAAATCATTTGTAATCTGGCTTTCTAACTTCCATTGTATCCTTCCATTCATACTAAGTTTTGTCATGTCTCACAGTATTCTTTTATATGCCTCAGCTTCCTTGTTTTTTAGGGGCATGCGTTTTTTTGATATTAGGTCTGTCTATCCTTTTGTTCAATCACTGTCCTTAGTCAGAAATTCTGTCCTCTCCTAATCTTTCACAGCCTTACTCATCCTTTTAGATGCTTTTCAAATGACATTTCTTCCTCAAGATTTCTTATACTTTCTCTGTTAGAAGCTTTCTTCCATGGTCTGATAGTATTTTGTTCATGTCTCTATTATAGCATTTATTTTTAATGAGTTGTTTACATATCACATTTCTCCTTCTTTATTGGGTAGCAAATTCCAGAGCAGGGATTTATTCATCTTTTATCATCCCACTCCTAGTATAGTGTTTTATAAACAGGTACTAAAAAAATGTTCATAGAAGAGAGTAATATTCCCAAAAAAAGAGGGCATGGGAAGAGGAAAGATGCAAAGGTGGGAATGATAACCTGTATAGGAAAATGAGCACACTAGTAAGGGAAATAAGAAATTTCAAAACAAATGACTCTTCATAAACCAAATTAATGGCAAACTGGAAGAACCACCTGTAGTTAACGCAACAAGAAGGAATACCAGAGTGGCACCTGTCATGTGGGAAGAATGCATAGCTGTTCCAAAGTTGAATGCATTCTGACTTGGAGTCTATTACTTGTCCAAGGAAAACATCCTTCCTGATATTTTACTCCTGTAGTGACCCTTCTGAAGTTTTACACGGGATAATTACTCAATTTCCTGTTATTAACAAACCAAAACCTTATTAATTTGTAATTAGTCAAGGTAGGATTTCAAACTGCTAGAGAAGATGAAAATTTCTAGTTGTGTCTTCATGCAGAATTCACAAATAAGCTTATGCTACCAGAATTTTACCTCAAACTTATTATTTCTTATATTTAATGAGAGAAAGGTAGATTATAATAGGTTATTAAAATAATAAGTTTTGAGTCTGACATTGACTTTTTTTAAAAATTTAAATTAATAGATCACAGTTGAAAACTTTGGTGCAACAGAAGTGAAAGAACTGGTTCTAAATGGTGCAGACACAGCTGTTAACAAACAAAATCGGTAAGTGGCTTATAGCAGCATCAGTGGTAGTAATAAGATTCAGTAGGCATTTTCTTCTGTATTTAGAAATATGTCACAGTCTTAAGTTTTTACTCAGATAAATTTACTCTTTGAATGGTAAGGACGTAATCAATCTTTCTTTTGCTCCTGGTAAGACATTAATAAAGGGACAAAAAGATCATTATCAATAGGAACAAAGAGAAGGAAGGGGAGACCACAACAGACACATTTTTGGAAGCTAGAAACCAGTGGTACCTAACTTCAGCCAGCCAGAAGAAGCTGCAGCTCGAGATGGACTAGGAGCCATGAAGGCAGACAGTTCATATTGCAGAACAATAGTTCAGGCATTGAGAATAAGAAAATAGGTTAAAAAGTGTATGGATTTTAAGGGGAAACTGGAAACAGAGATTGGCTGTTAAAAGAAGCAGTTAGAGATCTATTTCCCATAGTGCACACGTGGCCTAACAACTTTCCCTCTCCAGCTGGGCAGACTGGAAATTTACCGATCAAACTAAAGGAACTGTGGATTTGAGGACAGTTAGTTTCACTGAAGTGAAAACACGAAGATTAAGTGAAAGTCTGCAGCTCTTCTCCTCCTTGACACTGTGTATTGGAAGATTCTTCTCTGGGAAAACTGCCTAACTTTTAAATGTAAATGAATAATGAAAGATCAGTAGACATTTCAGAAAAGACCAAAATGGTAAAACAGAATGCCAGAGAAACAGAAACTGTGCAGGATGAAGAAACGTCGATAAAAATTGAAATCAGTATCCTCAAACTGGTAAGAGTAGCATCCATGAGGATAATATTAAAAACTGAAAAAATTTCATTGGAAGAAATGGAATGAATGTAATTTGTCAAATGGTACCCCCCAAAATTTCCAGAACTGAATGACATGCCTTTTAAGAATGACAGCATAGAAACTGAAAAAAAACATGATACAAAGCAAAATTACACGAAATTTCACAACCTGAAAAAAAACGAACCCTGAAACCTTTCAGGGAAAAAAAAAAATAGACCATACACAAAGAATTAAGAATCAAAATAATATCAGATTTATAAAGATTAACACTGAAGTTAGGAGATCAACATTCTGGGAGAAAATTATTTTAAACAGAGTTCTATATTGAAACTACCAAGTTCAGTTCCGTTCAGTTGCTCAGTCGTGTCTGACTCTTTGCGACCCCATGGACTGCAGCACGCCAGGCTTCCCTGTCCATCACCAACTCCCGGAGTTTACTCATACTCATGTCCATTGAGTCCGTGATGCCATCCAACCATCTCATCCTCTGTCGTCCCATTCTCCTCCTGCCCTCAGTCTTTCTCAGCATCAGGGTCTTTTCAAATGAGTCAGTTCTCCGCATCAGGTGGCCAAAGTATTGGAGTTTCAGCTTCAACATCAGTCCTTCCAGTGAACATTCAGGACTGATTTCCTTTAGGATGGACTGGTTGGATCTCCTTGCAGTTGAAGGGACTCTCAAGAGTCTTCTCCAACACCACAGTTCAAAAGCATCAATTCTTTGGCGCTCAGCTTTCTTTATAGTCCAACTCTCATATCCATACATACAAGTATGTGGTATGTAAAAATATTTTTATATATGCAGAGTCTCAGAGAATTTACTTCCAATGCAGTTTTCTCAAGAAGTTACTAGAGGATATGTCCTACCAAAACAAGGAATTGAACCACAAATGAGGGAAAAGGGATCCAAAAAAAAAAATCAGAGGCAAAGAGAAACAGTGGTGTGTACAAGATTTAGAAATAACTATCAATCTGCGTTAGATAAGGAAGATGGAGGGCTCCAGGAGGAATGTCTTCAGGAAAAAAAATGCAACCTAGTATATTTGAATGAATCTAAAGCAGATTGACATTTCTGTTGAAGTTGGAGTTGAGATAGCAACCTGAGGGACACAAAAATTCTTCTTTAGAAAAGTAATTGTAGAACACTCCCTAACTTAGTATTCAAAAATGTTAACAATGAATATTTAACCCAATATTCAGTATTCAGTTCATCAGATAATTTTTATAATTGTAGATCAAGGTATATCAAGGAATAACAGAACTCTGTTGTTAAAGTTTGAAGGTAAATACCAGAAGGAATGACAGAGTTAACAAGTAGTTTTCTTCAAATTGCCAGAGACTTGATCCAGATGATTATAATCCTGATTCTGTTATTTAGAAGCTGTGTAACTTTAGGTTAATAAGTTGGTGTCTACATGCCTCAGTCTCTTTTTCTGTAAGGTGAGATGATATATTATACCTACTTCATGGGGTTATTTTGAGGATTAAATGTGGCCATAATTTTAAAATGCTTAGAATAGTACCTAGCACGTGTATGTGCTCAGTAAATGTTGGCTGTTAGGACTATTACTATTTGCCATTTTAAAATGTATGTTATTTCTTTGGTAAAAATAAAACTTTTTAAAATAATGTGGAAAAATTTTAGGTCTTTCTACTTTTTAAAAAAAATCTTGGTTTTGAAAAGCTTTGACTATGATATAGAAAGATTTTTTTTCAGCTTTTCAAGTTCCTATTGTTGCATTAATTCTTTAAGTTTCTAACAAATATTATTTCACATAGATTATTTAGTTTAGAAGTAATTTAAAGAATTTTGATCTTTTACCACCAGTCCTAGTTGCATAATGAAAGTGTGGAATGCAAAAATGTTAGTACATAAAACAATTTAGCCTTTTGTACTTAGGAGACAACTATTAGTAGTATAAATTTGACTAATAGTTGAGTTATAAAATTATGCCTTATGAAATTACCTGTTTCTTCTTATAAGAACCTTATGCTGATAAGCATATGCTATTGATTTTTCCTTAGGGCCACCAATTTTATTTTGTAATGGCCCCCTTTAACCTTTTTTTTTTCTCTTTGTAAAGTGAGTTTGGAATTATTTTAAAATTTGCTAAAGTGATTATCTGTAGATGACTAAATTTACCAGTATTCCCATTTATAGAATCATCCTTTTTAATTTGGATAACAAGAGTGTAAAATATTGAAATCCTTTAGCACCCATTCTGATGATTGATTTAACCAGATAGCTGCATAAAGTGTTTGTGGCCAGCAGAACAAATGGGAATAAAACTGTAGTTCTAATTACTGAGTAAAGGGTTTCTTTTTTCATGACTGTTTCCTTTTGTATCATAACAGGGAGGAAAGCATCAGAAGTGTTCATCTGTATGTGTATTTATATGTATGAACACATACACTTGAAAAGAAACTTCACTTGTAGTCTTTAATGATTATCCTGAAAGAATACTAAATGCCTCTCTTGGGTTTTTAAATAAATTGCTTCATCAGATTCCTTTGAAACCCAAGGAAAAGCAGACTGTACAATCTGTGAAACGGTCCGAATCCCAAAGTGCTCTCTCTCTTTTTTAAAAATCTCCTATTATTTTTTAACTTTATACTAGGGATGTATCAGAGTGATACATACACATTCTCAATAATTTGTGAATAATTTAAAAATATTTTTGATAGCCATTTGCATCATCATTCTTCCCATTAGGACATCTTTCACTTAGAAGTAAGCTAAGAATGGCTGTGAATGAGAGGTTGTCTACATGCCTCCTAGATCTACAAGATTTTTATATAGAAAAATAATAGACTTCTTCATTAAGATTTTGTCCCTTGAATCCTACTCATACTTTCTAGGTTTTGTACTTAAATAGCAAAAAGTACAGTAACACTCAGAGGTTTAATAAGACTGTAATATGTATTCTCTATAAAAATTTTTTTTATATTTTGTGCATGTGTGCTTTTTCATTTCTAGACAAGAGTTTGTTGATGCTTATGTGGATTACATATTCAATAAATCAGTGGCTTCCTTATTTGATGCTTTTCATGCGGGCTTTCATAAGGTCTGTGGAGGAAAAGTCCTTCAGCTCTTTCAGCCTAATGAACTACAAGCAATGGTTATTGGAAACACAAATTATGATTGGAAGGAGTTGGAAAAGGTAGGGGAAAACAAATCTATGATATTGTTAAGATGGAAAAGCAAAAGGAAAACAATTTGTTGATGGTTGTGTCTCTGGTATTGATGGTATTCATGTTCATGTTATGTGTATTTGACTAAGGTTTTAAAAATAATGCTATTGTGCATTAAAACAGGATGCACTGTTGATACGTTCAACACCTGAGAGGTCTCTGAGTCCTTATGCTGGGTGAAAGAGGTCAGTCTCAGAAAATTATATACTGTATGATTCCATTTATATGACAGTGTTGAAAAGCCAGGCACTGTGTTGGATGGGGGCTAGGGCTGAGGAGGGACTGTGACTGCAGAGAGCAACGTGAGAGAATTCTTTAGGGCGGCAGAATTGCTGAGTGTCCTGCCTGTAGTGGTGGTTTATGTGTATATGTGGTTTAAACTTGTAGAACTGTACACATGTAAAAAAATGTCAATTTTACTGTGTAACAATTTAAGGAAAAATTTTTTTAATTAAAAAAAAAATAGGACTTCTGATTAAGAATAGTGGAATAAACATTTTTCTCTGCTCCCTCCCAGAATCTCATTAGAATTACAGTAAAGGACTAAACATAGGACTAACCCCCTCCCCCAAAATACAGTGAGCAAGAGAAAATACAGTTTTGGAAGATGGAAAATAGGTGGATGAGTGACTTAGAACAAAGAAAATTGAATTCTGAGCCTCCAGAGGACTAGATTGTCAAGAGGCAGCCTGTCACATTGTAGAATTTGTGAAAGGCACAGGAATTAGCACGTCATGTTACCAGAGGTACAGGGTTGGGCTGAAAACAATACAGTTGCTTCAAAACTAATTTAAGGAATTACTTGACCTCTCACATCCCCTTTCCTGTCTGGCAAAATAGAACTCTGGAGAGAGGCTCTAGAATCTGGGAAAGCATGTAGAACTGAGGCTGGTACTCAGAAAGCTGGTAGGCAGGCTTGAATCCTCCAGGAAGGAGATTGAAGATTTCTTTGGGAGGTAGATTAATTTGCTAAAGAGAAGAAAGATGACTTTAAGAATTGTCACACCTCAGATCTTACACAGTTTATCCTTCTTGCCTCATCTTTCATTCCTCCTCTCACTCTGCTTCAGCCTTACTGGCTTCTTCGCTGGGCCTAGAACCCTCCAGGAACACTCTAGTCCTGTGGCCTTTCTGTTTTCTGTGCCTAGAATTCTCTTCACCTTGATAATTTCAAATGTTTCTAGTTGTGACTTCCTTTATGTCTTTATATCTTTTCAGAGATCTTCATTGGATACCCACTAAAAATTGCATATGTACACACACATACATACCCCCATCTTCCTTCTCTTTTCTCTTCTCTAAATTTGACTAAATAAAATTTTACTTGTCTTTACTGTCTGCTGCTCCTTACTCCCCACTCCAGTGTAAGCACTATAACTGCAGGATTTTTGTCTCTTTGTTCACTGCTGTCAGGATTTTTGTCTATTCACTGCTGTGTTCCCAGAGCCTAGAAGGGCATTCAGCAAGCACTTAAAACCTTGTCAGTCAGACAGGACACTTTTTTAAAGTATATTTTAGTGTACTTAGTATACTTAGTTTCTCCCACTGATCTGATTCATTATAATTTCACTAATTATGATTTGTGACTTTAAATGTTCTTCATCAGGACTGTGCACATTTCCCCAGTACCATCTTGTGGTTTAAAAAAAGGAAGTAAAAAAAAGCCAACCACCTTTCATTTCCCCAGTAACATACTCATAATCTTCAATTCAAACAAGTTAATACTTTAGCTGATTGCTAGAATTCAAGCCATTATCTCCAAATCTGTTTGTAAATTAATAGCAGATATGTTGTCGATTTCTTGAGTTCAGTCATTGAGATAATCATGGCTACAAATAGAGCTCCAAATTCAAGAACCTGAAAATAAATCTTTACTGAGCCTCTACTAGATGCCTAATACTATGCAAGAGATTAGGAAGACAGCAGTAAATAAGCTTGAGACATGGTCTTTCTCCTCTGGTAAGGAGGCTGGACATTAAATAATTGAACTGCGATGAATATAAAGGAAGAGAGTTTAGTGAATGATACATAAGTTGAAACCTACACAAACAGGGAAAGCCTCTCACTCAATGGGAATCTCTACCAGGTAAGAACTTTGTTCACTGCAATTTCCCCAGGACTCCCGACTTTGACTGAATCTCATTATATATTTGTCTAATGAGCCAATGAATGAATTAGGTGACATTTAATCTGAACTTAAAGGATAAGTAAAAATTAATCCGATGAACAAAGAAAGGAGGAGTGCTTGGGAAATATATTCACTGTTTTGTTGCAAATTACACCAAAACATAGTGGCTTAAAGATGAACATTTGTTGTCTCACATAGTTTCTGTGGGTCAGGAATTCAGAAGTGGTTTAGTCCAGTGATTTTAAACTCGGAGATCTTTCATGAGGTTGCAGTCGAAGTACCAGCTGGTGCCTTTAGTCATCCGAAGATGGCTGGATAGAATTCCCCTTCCAAGATGGCTGTGGATCAAAGGCCTCAGGATCTCAGCTTGAGGAGGAGAGTAGGGTGGTTTGAATGTCTCCATGAAATGGCAGCTAGCTCCCCCTGGGGGTGAGTGATCAAAAAGCTAAAGCCATACAAGTTGTTTAAGATTAGCCTCAGAAGTCATGTATTCTCACATCTGCACTATCCTAATGAGGTCAAGCCTATTCAGTGTTGCGGGGGGGACGAACATGGCCATGAATAGCAGGAGGCAGAGATCTTTGAGGGCCTCTTGGAAACTACCACAGAAAATTGTTAGTGTTGCTCTTAGAACCATTTATGTTTTAAAGAGAAGATGGGATAATACAAAATAATTCTTATGACTTGTGTTCGATATAGGGAAAGAAAATTTCATGATTATTACAGATAATTAATTCCGTGTTAAACTTGAATAGTCCACTAGCCTTTCATTAATTTTGGTTTATCCTTTAGATATTTACTTTGAAAAATGATATTACTATCACATCATGTTCTTTGAATTGGGAGCATGGGAGATGTTTCTGCAGATTCATACATATTTTCTTCCCTTTCCTCTGGAACTAATAGTTCCAAGTTGCAAAATACCCAGGAAGTAATAATTAACTGAATTACATGAGTTTCAAACTCTTGGATAGTGTTAATTTTCTGTGCTAAGGAAGCCAGTTGTCAGATTCAAGATAAAACTAATATCCCTTAATATTAATAGAAGATTATGCTGTTTTTAGAATACAGAATACAAAGGAGAATATTGGGCAGAACATCCTACAATAAAAATGTTCTGGGAAGTATTTCACGAATTACCATTGGAAAAGAAAAAACAATTTTTGTGTAAGTATTTCTAATTCTGTGTTTTATGAGAATGGAGTCTAATTATTGAACTTAGACTAATTGATTCACTTTGTTTGGTTTTTCTGTATTATTCAAGGTCCTGTTTTTAATTTTCAGAGTAATTTTTAAAAATCTACATTCTTTAGATTTTAAAAAGATCTCTGTAGTATAACTGTTTTCAGTCTTCAGTTTCCTTTCTTTGCTTCGGTATGAAAACTTTGGTAGTTGGTGTAGAAAATAGAACTTTCCTGTTCCTGAACTTAATGCCTAATCTGTGTCTGTTTTGCTTATCATAGGATGACAGGTCATTCTTAAAGCAATTTTAATTTTGGCTTCCAAGTATGAATTTGTTTAAAGATGGCAAGACAAATAGGAAAGGAATTATAATCAAAACTGCATGTTTTTTTAATAAATAGCTTTACTCTTTTCAAAAAAGAGGGGCTCCCAAAATGTTTTTATTAAGGACAGCAGTCATTCATGTATCAAACATATATTAAGCCTTTCTGTGTGTTGATGTTAAGATGACACTTTTAAAGAAAAAATACTGAGAAAAAAAGACTGGATGTATCTCAGAATCATGCTTCCACAAATTCTGGGGATAGGCTTACACCTTAGAGCAAATGTTACTGTAAACCTTTGCTATAAGTGATTGTTTAAGTAACTTGATACTCCATATTGTTGTTTAAAACTTTTATTGTTGATAAAAGTAGTTGGTTCACTCAATGATTCTTTTCTTGGCAGTATTTTTGACAGGTAGTGATCGCATTCCCATTCTTGGTATGAAGAGTCTAATACTAGTCATCCAGTCAACAGGAGGTGGTGAGGAATATCTCCCAGTTTCCCATACCTGTTTTAATCTTCTGGATCTTCCAAAATATACAGACAAAGAAACTCTACGCTCTAAACTGATTCAAGCTATTGATCACAATGAAGGCTTCAGTTTAATATAACTTTGGAGTTACAACTATTCAGTTTACTGCAAAAGCATTAAACTAATTATTTGTGTTTTTGTTGTGGTGATGAATTCAGCAAGGTGATAGAGGTACTATTACAATTCTTACTTGCAAAATGTTCAATGCAGTGAGTATTCATGAAAGCCAAAAAATATTAAAAGAGATGAACAAACTGTGTTAATATTAAACACTGTACAGAACCATGGGTTTTTTTTTTTGCCATCTTCTAATAAACATACAAGTGTTGTGACTACATTGAGGTTTTACTAACATAAATTTTAAGAGTTTGCATATTTCACAAATGATCTGGTGTGTGAGTGCATGAAAATGTTGCTTAATTTTTCTTCAATCACGGATGAGAAGCCTTTAACTTTGGCCTGCAATAGTCATTCGATTATTTTTTCATTTTGTAAATAATGTTAAAGTTTTGTAATAAAATAGTTATGTTCTGATACCAGTGCAGTTTCTCTGGTTGTACTTGAACTGAGATTACAAATCTTATTCTGACAATCTATGAAGGCAAAAAATTAGCATGGTGGAAAATATAGTCTTTGCTTTTTTGCTAGAATAATGTCCTTGTGCAAATCTAAATTACAAATAGGATTTACCTGATTAACATATAGTTCTTTCTTTTTATGAGTCTTGAGATATAATTGATAAATGGGAAGTTGTCAGAAAGCTTAATATTTAGTAATGGAAGAACTCTGTCCAGTTGCTGGAAATATAGTCGTTGACTATGAGAACCAATCATTGGGTTAAAGCTTTTAAAACTATTGATGCTGCAGGTTGGTATTTAAAGAGAATTTTCAGTGCTTCAGACCATTTACTTGAATTTTAAGAGATAAATCTTAATAGATCTTTAAGTTTTATGGTGCTGATGCTTAGTTATCTCGTCATTAAATTGTAACAGTGAGTGATGCAACACATGTGACTTTCTGCTATAATGCAAATATTTATTTTTTAAATTTATTTTTTAAATGCCATGAAAACTGTTTAAATAATAAAGGTTTATTGGCCTAATATTTAAACTTTCACTGGTTCTCATATAAGAGTCAAAATTCTTCAAACACAGTAATATCTAAGAGAAATCTCTTAAATTTTGGACAGATAGTTCCCATTCCCATACAAATTTATCTGTTTTATAGAAGCTCCCAAGTCTCCTTACCTGTAATTCTAAAATCCAGAACAACTCGGGGTGGGGGTTGGGGGGGGGGGCGTGGGCGCTACATCACTTTGCAGCAAAACCTGACCTCATTGTTGAAGGTGTCTATGATATTAAATAGGACTAAATGGGACTGTTTGCACATTTGACTGTGGCAGTGTTGGTGTGTTTGTTTTGTGTTTGATCTGGGTGCTGCCGGATCTGTGTGGGGTGCTACACTTTGTGTGCTTTAAAAATTCTTTTAACATTCATAATTCCAAAACGCAAATGAGTGAGTCCAGGGGTTTTGGAAAAGGGATTGTGGACATGTACTTTTCACTAGTTTAAGTTAAACTTCTCGTGTTTTTTAATAGGCTTTTAATAAAAGCCTTAATAATTGTCCTTAAAGTGACATTTTTCCCAGTGAAATTCTTCCAGGTATCTGGTATTATACTGTTTCCGTGCACATCCATTCCTTCAGGCTATTGATGGTTTACATTGAAAACTTAGATGTGTGCCGGAGCCAGCACACGAGATCCCACCCATGACACAGGCTGACAGGCGAGGCGGATCAGGTTTTCAGGGATTCCGAAGAGCTGCCCCCCCAGTGCTCACCTTGAAGATGGTATCTGTCTTTCTGGTGCTTGCTTCAAGAGTACTCCTTAATTTCTGTGACACAGGCAGAAGGCCTTCCCAAATAAGAGTCAATTTAGAACTTTAATCAATAAGTTTCCTGGGTGGTTGGTATTTTATGAGATTATCCAGGGTGAGTGTTTTAATTTAGACTCCTTTGCTGGTATTTTAGTTTGTTTGGCAAATGCGTTTATGCCCTTGGTACTAATATGCATGATTGCTCATAATACCCTAATCATAAAATAGCATAAAGAACCTTATCATATAAAGGCCCTAGTAGACATAGAGCCCTTCGGGGAGTGAGGAAGCCCTATTAGAAAACATAAGAAAAATTATTCTAAAGGTGGTTACTGGGTTGATGTTTGCTTGCTGTGTTTTTGCTTTTAATGTGCTAAGGTTGTTATAGAAACCATTGTTAATATAGTTAAAGATCTAGAGAAATAAGCTTAGCCCTAGTGTGGTAACAATGAGATGGTTGTTAATTGTCAGCCAGGAGTGCTAGACAGAAGCTGCCTCACCAAAGTCACAGAGTCTGTGTGGGGTAAACTTCTTAGATAAATGCAACTGACAACTTCTGCAGAAGGATTAATTTTTGTGTTAACAAGGTTATACTTCTACTCTGTACTGTTGCCCTATGAGACTGCTACTGCTACCTTTCAGTTAAGGTCACCATAGAAACAGAAAATAGGTTTACATTCACCTGACCTGCATAAAATGTTAATAGGCCCCAAGGCCAGAAGATAACACACCCATAAACAAAGAAGTACGCAGAAAACACCCTGGTTTCGTGAAGGACAAGCTGACATAATGTTAAACTGTCTTGCCCTTAGAAATGTACTTAACTTAGGGTATAAAAGCTATGGTAAAAAATAAAGGATTGCCAGACTCTGCTAGACCCTGCTGCAAACACCCCCGGTCTGGTCACTCTCTCTTTCTCGTCATCCTGAGACTTGGCCCTATCAAGGCTGGTCTCACGTGTCCCCTCTCTCTCTCGCCGATGCCGTTCATCCTGAGGGTACCCCCTGGATCCTGCTGAGGGTGGACCCCAGCAGATGTGTGTGTCAGGTTTCTTAGTAACCTCTATTTCCTATGAAGCTTATCTGTAAAATAGCAGCCACTTTGGATTAATACAGGTAGAGTTCATTGAACAGGTGTTTTAACAAGGCCTGACTTGTTATCTGGGAACACAACAATGCAAGGCATAATTTGGGTAACTGAGATTCTTTTCCTCCCTGTTACTGCAGACCTACAGTAGAATTAACAGCAGGGAGATTCATGGGAAAAAATACCATTGAAAATATTTCAAATTGCTGTTTGCTGCTTTTTAAAAGTAACAAAAATACCAAGCTTTACAGATTAGAAATGGTTTGGACTTAAACAGAAGATACTAAGAAGTTATAGCAAGAATACACAGAACTATACCAAAAAACATCTTGATCCAGATAACCACAATGGTGTGAGCACTCACCTAGAATCACACATTCTGTAATGTGAAGTCAAATGGGCCTTAGCACACATCACTATGAACAAAGCTAGTAGAGGTGAATGAATTCCAGTCGAGCTATTTTAAACCCTAAAAGATGATGCTGTGAAAGTGCTGCACTCCATATGCCAGCAAATTTAGAAAACTCAGCCGTGGCCACAGGACTGGAAAAGGTCAGTTTTCATTTCAATCCCAAAGAAAGGCAATGCCAAAGAATGTTCCAACTACCGCACAATTGCACTCCTCTCACATGCTAGCAAAGTAATGCTCAAAATTCTCAAAGCCAGGCTTCAACAGAACGTGAACCATGAACTTCAGATGTTCAAGCTGGATTTAGAAAAGGCAGAGGAACCAGAGATCAAATTGCCAACATCTGTTGGGTCATCGAAAAAGCAAGAGAGTTCCAGAAAAACATCTACTTCTGCTTTATTGACTATACCAAAGCCTTTGACTGTGTGGATTACAATAAACTGGAAAATGCTTAAAGAGATGGGAATACCAGACCACCTGACCTGCCTCCTGAGAAATCTGTATGCAGGTCAGGAAGCAACAGTTAGAACTGGACCTGAAACAAGACTGGTTCCAAATCAGGAAAGAAGTACATCAGGGCTGTTTACTGTCACTCTGCTTATTTAATTTATATGCAGAGAACATCATGTGAAATGTTGGGCTGGTTGAAGCACTAGCTGGAATCAAGATTTCAGGGACAATTATCAATAACCTCAGATATGCAGATGACACCACCCTTATGGCAGAAAGTGAAGAGGAACTAAAAGAGCCTCTTGATGAAGGTGAAAGAGGAGAGTGAAAAAGCTGGTTTAAAACTCAACATTCAAAAAATGATCATTGCATCCAGTCCCATCACTTCATGTCAAATAGATGGGCAAACAATGGGAACAGTGAGAGACTTCATTTTGGGGGGCTCCTAAATGGGGCTTCCCTGATGCCTCAGGTTAAAGCGTCTGCCTGCAATGCAGGAGACCTAGGTTCAGTCCCTGGGTCGGGAAGATCCCCTGGAGAAGGAAATGGCAACCCACCCCAGTATTCCTGCCTGGAGAATCCCATGGATGGGGGAGCCTGGTGGGCTATAGTCCACAGGGTCGCAAAGAGTCGGACACGACTGAGCGACTTCACTTTTACTTTTCAAATCACTGCAGATGGTAACTGCAGCCATGAAATTAAAAGATGCTTGCTCCTTGGAAGAAAAGCTATGACCAACTTAGCATATTAAAAAGCAGAGACATTACTTGGCCAAGAAAGGTCCATCCAGTCAAAGCTATGGTTTTTCCAGTGGTCATGTATGGCTGTGAGAGTTGGACCATACAGAAGGCTGACTGCCAAAGAATTGACGCTTTTGAACTGTGGCGTTGGGGAAGACTCTTGGGAGTCCCTTGGACTGCAAGGAGATCCAGCCAGTCAGTCCTAAAGGAAATCAGTCCTGAATATTCATTGGAAGGACTGATACTGAAGCTCCAATACTTTGGCCACTTGATGCGAAGAACTGATTGATTTGAAACAACCCTGATGCTGGGAAAGATTGAAGGCTGGAGAAGAAAGGGATGACAGAGGATGAGATGGTTGGATGGCGTCACTGACTCGATGGACATGAGTTTGAGCAAGCTCTTGGAGTTGGTGATGGACAGGGAAGCCTGGTGTGCTGGTCCATGGGGTCGCAGAGTTGGACACGACTGAGTTGATAGATTAGAAAGTAGGCAAATCCTGAGTTCATTAAATTTTAAGGACCATGATTGTTGAATTGGCTTAACCTTTGAAAACATTGGAGCCACATTTGTAAGAGTAATTGTGTCTTTAATGCCTTAAGTCATTAGTAATTTTAACTGATAGCCATTGTTCAGAGAAGGCAGTAGACCCAATACAAGCCTTTAAACTGGCATGAAATAAAACCACAATGTAGTTTTCAAAACTGAGAACCCCAGCCTTTGCACAGGGATTGACTTCTAACGTGTTTTTGCCTGCATTATCTAAGATTTTCACTGCATTTAGTTGAACAAGGTCTTATGGTGACGTGTAATATGCCTAAGGCAGTCTTCCCCTGCATACGGTGAATTCTCTGAAAGCAAAGGCAAAATGGTCTTGCTCTCAACCTCTTCCTATCCCCAGCCTCTGGGCTGTTGGCCATCCAAACTCCTTACGTTCGTTTTGTCCTCCTTTCTCAGTAATTCAGTAGCTCCCTGCTCCCACATTGTAACATTACTAGGTATAAACTAGGGATTAGTCTGTTTTATGTACCTCTACCTTACTTTCCCTGTTGGGCCAGCCACACTGAATGGAGGGTTAAATGCAGAAGGAACTCACCCTATTCCTTTCACTTCTCAACTCTTACTATTAAGTCACCTGGGGCTACTTTTTACTATTATGTAAACTCCACCTTTGACCAGTTAGATGTCATCTCTTAAGAGATTACTTTCCAAAATTCCCCAGGTTATTTTTAATCTCAGTTGGGGGGGTGGGAGGGAGGGGTGTCATGAGACCATTTCTCCTAGCATCCTAAGGGTGACTTCATTTGAAGTGGAGTGGGAGAGCTTTTGATTAGTCTAGGAGCTGAAACTTGTTTCAAATAAAATTTATCAGATAATGCTTAGCAGGTAGGTGAAGGTACATAATTCTTTTGTGCCAGTGAGGAAGATGCTGATTAACAATGTGTATAAAGTCAGGTTTTGCTAGGTTTTCAATTACTTGAAATGACCACATACCCTCCTTATTAAGAACTGCTTTTCTATTTTCTGCATATACAGAATTTCACAGGTACTTTTTCTAGTGCAAACAAGATATACAGGGGAAGAGTTTTTTGAATTGTTTAGTTCACTTCAAAAAGAGACCTGAAGGCAGGAAACTGCCACATTTATTCATTACGTCTTTGTAAAGGGGCATGTTTCTGCCCTCCTGAATACTAGATTTCTGGGTCACCTTAAGAAAGTTCACACCAAATATGATCAAGTCATTTTTTGTCTACTCCTTTGGGTCTTGAGTTCACTACAGTTCCACCATTCCCTCATCCCCCTAATCCCAAAGTCCTGGTCCTTTGTCAAGTGTTTCATGTCAAAAATTAGCTATTCTTTTAGTTGCTAACTCATATCCAACTCTGCAACCCCATGGACTTCAGCACGCCAGGCTCCTCTCTCGTCCTCTAGTATCTCCCGGAACGTGCGCAGATTCTGCTGCTTGCTCAGCTCTCATCCTCTGCCTCCTCCTCCTCTTGCCTTCAACCTTTCCCAGTTATTCTTAGGCAGGGTTAGTAAGGGGGGAAGGCTCCTGGTCTAGAACAGTTGAAACGTTTTGGTGATGTACCAGTTACTACAACCAGCACTTTTAGTACTATTTTAGTATTAACTGTTGTATATAAAAAAAAAAATGTAGCATCTAATAGCCCTCAAAGCTGTATAAAAGCTGCACAATTTTTAAAGTTTTTACCTTAAACAATGTAAGCTAACAGAAAAAAGTCAAATGACAATTTTAATAGACTTTTAAAACAGTGTACAAGTATAAAACACTGGTTTTGTATTTCAAAAGTTTGAGGAAGATATCCAGTCATTAAACAGTCTACAAAACATATGCCAGTAGATTACATAAAAGACTATGTACAATATAAAAAGAGCTGAAAACAGTCTTCACTGTAAAAATAATTTAAAACAAATTTTTCAATTTAAAATATCATCTATAGCACAAACACAGATCATGCAAATGGAAAACTAAATATTATACTGCATTCTTTAGTGTAGTCAAATAAATTCAGATTGAAACATCTTTTAGGTAGGGAAATGGTCATTCAATAAAATTTTTTTTCTCTGGCAGTAATGGTCCTAAGCTGGGTATTTTAAGCTTAAAGAACAGCTGTATTTCAAACCCTTCTTGTTAAACTGTAATAAATACTAAAGCAACATAAAAATTCTTTATTTGAAAGCAATGTTGGGGAAAGGCCTGGAAAATTAATCGTTACTGTGCAATTTTATAAAGTATGAACTTTTGTTGAAAGGCTAGAAGCTTCTGCAGCTGAAAAAGTTGTTCTCTAGTTTTAAGGCAGGCTAAGCTTTTAAATATATTATAGGAACTAGTTTCATTAACTATTCTGCTATTGACAAGTTACATCACGTTCATCTCCATAATACTAGGCTAGTATGTTTGGTGTTTCTTACACCAAGTCCTCCCAACAGGAAACATGTACTCACTGGCTTTGGAACCGTAATCGGGGTCTGTTGCTCTCATTAATGGGGAAAAAAGGCAACAGTCCAAAATATTACACTCTCCCCAGTTGAAGTACCATTTATATTGATTCATAAAGGCTTTGCAGATTCACATTGGCAGTTTAATACTTGTGGAAAGGATCAATGCAAGCTCTACCACAGTGATAGGTATTTAAACAACAATGGCAAATATTCTCAAAACTAAGGGGACCCAGGCAGGTACTATTGTTTCTAAAGCAACTGAAACATTTCCAAAGCATATATTTTTTAAGTTAAGTTTTATGAGCCAATATAGACATTACTACATGTCCACAGGAAGTACAAAAGCCATCTTCATTTGAACGATACACTTCTGAAACTGTTAGCACCAAGTCTCATTTTAAGAAAGCAAAGACAACTGAGTGCTCTCCCACATATTGATGACTTCCTTCTCACATTGCATGTCATGAGATTTTTAAAAAGTTAGCTGCCACAAGTTTTGGAAAATGCCAGTGTTTAAAAATAGGTAATTGTGCTAATAAAGAATCAAACGTTTAGCAGAACAGAGATTTGAGGATTTCAAACCATTCAATGTTAACAAAGAAAAGTGAAAATACCATTCTTTGGTCTAGATAAGCTGTTCCCTTTAACATTCCAATGGCTTTTTGAAAACTCTGAAATGTTGAAACTCACTAGGCAAAAACAAAATTATATATACACATCGATGTATCATACAAATGAACCTTTAACAGAAAGTCTAGTCCAATGGCTGACTAAAGATACTTGCGTACCTTTGTTTAAAAAAAAAAAAGTTAGTGTTTGAGTGTATAAGCACAGAAATAAGGAGTTAAAAATTACCCATTGGGGGGAAATCTGTTTTACCAGTCTATAAATATTATACCTTTCTGGTTTCTTTGCTCTATTGAGTTCACAAGTAAACATTCAACTTGACATGCTAAAGATCCTAATGCTGGTGGAACAATTTCTGTACCTGGACAATTACTACATTATGATTTGTTTGATGGATAGTTAATGCATGTTGCTTCCTGTTTCACGGATATAGCTTCATTAACTGCCTCTTGATCACCTCCATCAGCTTCAAATACAGTTCCTCCGGCGCTCTCATCAACATCATCTTCCAAACCATTGTAAAATTCTTCATTCTCACTTTCATCCTCCATGGGTTCTTCTAAACTTGGACTCTGGCATGTTCCACTATCACTGTTACTGCCGCAAGAACTAGAGGATAAGACATCATCTTCAGAGTCTGAATATACCTCAGCGCCATGGAAAATGTAACGGTTTGGTGGTATAAACAGATACTGATTATCTGAAATACAGTAATAGGAGAGAAATGGGTTATTTCCAGTTTTCTAAGACTTAGTCTGATTGTGCTGTTTGGATAAGTGTAGGTTCTAACCTTTTACCTGAGTATCACTACTAGAGGCTATTATTATATACAGTTTCTCAAAACCAAGCTATAAAGGCACTCAGTCCTGGGTAGAAATCTTAGTTCTGCCACTCATAAACTTTGCAAATTGGAAGTGTTATCTCTGTGCCTCAATCTCCTCATCTGGGTATGAAGTAATTTTCAGACCCTATGAGGTAAGTATGAAAAACAAATTGTAGAGAGCCATGTTCAACGAAGCTTACTTAACCAACTCCTTGGAGATTTGGTGAGATGAAGTATCCAGCTACCACCCACCCTCTGAATCAGAAGCTATTTTTCTGAGTCCTATCATGTTAAAGTGTGAGAAGTACTATTAAGCTTTCTTTTGCAAAGCCCTCCCAAATTAGCATTCGCAGTATAAGATTTGACCTCTCATGGTGAGGAGCCTTCCCCTCCCTCTCCTAAGCCAGAGAGTGACTCTCTCCCAGGTCAAGGGTGTTCCTCTTAAGAGCCCAGACTGATTCACAAAAGCTGACTACTACATAGTTCATCTGGAGTAATATATACTTAAGTTTCTCTTCAAAATGACTTCCAAGGTTTTTTTTTTGGTTTAAATATATATTTTTTTTCATTTATTTTTATTAGTTGAAAGCTAATTACTTTACAATATTGTAGTGGTTTTTGCCATACATTGACATGAATCAGCCATGGATTTACATGTATTCCCCATCCCGATGCCCCCTCCTGCCTCCCTCCCCAAGCGTTTTTAAGACCCTGTCTTGACCCAGTTCTCACTCTGCATGTTTTGCAGCGTGAAAACCACACTGTGTCAGTGATTGGAGAAGGGACTTGAGTACCTGCATTCTAGCTGCTGACAGACAACATCTAGTGATTCTAACAGGACCATCTCCTCTGAATCACATCCTAGAAGCCAGTCTTCTAAGCGGTCCCAGCACATGGCTGTCCTGCCCTTTTACAGGTTTATTAAAAACCAGTTCATTCTGCTCCGACCCCCTGAAGAACTAAACAATCTATTTCTCCGTCCAAGTACCCTGCACCTGTTTTTGTCCTCTTGGCAATCTTACCTTTAAGATATTCACATTAAAAAAAAAAAAAGATGTTCACATTTTATTTCTTACATGCTCCAACTTCCTCCTTTTCAGCCCTGACCTCACAACAAACTAAAATGAGTAAACTCCAGTTGTTTGATTTAAACAGTTAAAAATGTTAAGTTTTACATTCTTTACATCAGTTATCTTTTCAAATGCTCACAATGCTATGAGAGGTAGATCAAATTCCGAAGCCTGTATCTTTAAAGGTCTAAATTAGCCGAATAAAACCAAGGTATACCTATTTTCTGGGGCAGAATTTTATACGTTTGACTCATCTGTCAAAAAAGAGCCAAAGAATATTGTGAGTGCCTAAGCAGACTTTGGAGAAGGAAATGACAACTCACTCTAGTGTTCCTGCCTGGAGAATGCAATGGGCAGAGGGGCCTGGCAGGCTACAGGTCCATGGGATCAAAAACGAGTCCAGACACAAAGGACCAACACACAAGCAGACTGTGTATACGACAGACTTAGCTGACTCAATCAACAGCAATTTTTCTACTTCTGACTTTTGCCACATTGACAAGCGTAAGTATTCTTCTATACTTTTTCTAATTTTCCCCATGGAAGATTTCACCAACTTACAGTTAAAGCCTTCTATAACCTAGTGCCCACTAAGCAGCATCTACCTTTTAAAATTCTCATCTATTTTTTTTCCCATTCACCCATTTTTGTAATTATACACAAATATCAGTTGCTTGGATGGGTGTTTCCAGAACTTGCAGCAGTCCTAGTTTGGAAAATACCCAAAGGCTTATTCAACTGAACTAAAATTTATTTATGGCAAATGAACATGTAATACATTTGTCTAAAATTTCTTGCCAGTTTTCACAATGTATAGTGAGAGAGTGTTTTAAGCAGTACAAAATTGTTGCATCTAAGAGCACAATTTTCTGTCTTAATTAGGGTTTTTCACCATAGGTTAATACTTGTGCCTAAGTGGTTTTAAAAGGTAGAAAGTGATTCCACCTGTGTTGATACAAACTGGTAAGGACTTTACGTGAGTCAAAACAGAGCGGGTGCTATTTCTGACAGTCAGGGGAGAAGAGCCGTGTTTCCCGAGATCTGAGACAACAGGCTAACAGAAGCTGGAATCCACCCGGCTCTCCTACGCTTGAGTTGTGTCCTTAGGGGATTTAACCTCGGTGGTCCTCATTTCCCCACCTGTACCTGAGAAGTAACAGTTTCCTGCCTAACTGAAATCAGATACTGAAATCAGAAAGTATGTCAAATCACTGACCCTCAGTAAGCACCAAATCTTGATCATTTTCACCATCTAAAGCTCTTAGCAGAAAGAGCGGAGCACTCAGTAGTCCCCAATTAAATGCGTAACTTCTCACTCCTAGGGAAACTCAAGGTACAGGACACTGTTGGATACCATTTCTTCCCCATATTACTGAAGATACTGTTTATCTTTTTCTAGCTTAAAACCTCAACTTCAGTTTCTCTAAACACAATCAGCTATTAAAATTTAGCTGCATGAAGTTCACACTAACTAGGTTGCCAAAACTGCTCACTTCCTGCAAATATTCCATTGAAACTGGAGCCTATTATACAGAGTGAAGTCAGTCAGAAAGAAAAACACCAATACAGTATAGTAACACATATATATGGAATTTAGAAAGATGGTAACGATGACCCTATACACGAGACCACAAGAGAGATTCATGTAAAGAACAGACTTTTGGACTCTGTGGGAGAAAGCGAGGGTTGGATGATGTGAGAGAATAGCACTGAAACATGTATATTACCATATGTGAAACAGATCGCCAGTCCAGATTTGATGCATGAGACAGGGTGCTCGGGGCTGATCACTGGGATGACCCAGAGGGATGGGATGGAGAGGGAGGTGGGAGGGGGGTTCAGGATGTGGGACACGAGTACACCCATGGCTGATTCATGTGAATGTATGGCAAAAACCACTACAATATTGGAAAGTAATTAGCCTCCAATGAAAATAAATAAATTTACAAAAAAAATAATAGTTATACCCTCAAAACGGCCCAACAACCTTTCTTACCATCAAGGCGTTTACTAATCTGCTCCTTTGCAAGTCTAGCCGGCCAGCATTTTCTCACTGTTTCAGCACCTGAAGTTCTTTCATTTTTCTCACCACTACTGGAGACCGCATTCTTCAAATCTGGACTCTCCAACTGGTCATTAACACTTTCAGTGCTCCTAGTAGAAGTCTGTACTTCCTGTGATTTTTCTGTGACACAGTCTTTTAATTCAGACACATCTGGATCATCAACCTTACTCTTTGTTTCTTGGTCTAAAAGAGTGATAATCACTGAAGAATCTGGTGGTGAAGTTCTTTCGGGTGAACTTGAGCCTTCTGAAATATTGAGGGGTGTGGGTGGCAATTCTGACAAATGTGCCAACTCTTTTTGTATTCGAGGAGGTTTTTCGGTAATTTCTGAAAGCTTCACAGGGTTACAGCAAAGTTTGGCATATTCACCACCTAACCTATGACACAGTTCATTAATAATTACGTCACAGTCTCCAAGAAGCTCTACATCAAAATGCAGATGAGGCAAAGGTTCCCTATTAATTAATATCTGAGGCACTTCATGGGGTATGGAACCTAAGATTAGAGTGAAAAAATAAAGAATTAGAGAAAAGAAGGGAGGTGCACTTATAAAACCAAAACAAACATAATATGTAAAATCTTAACAGGGAATTTCCTGGCAAGTTCAGTGGTTAGGACTCTGCTTTCACTGCCATGGCCAGGGTCCTATTCCTGCTCAGGGAAATAAGTTCCTGCAAGCCAAAAGAAAATCTAATGCTCCCCAATACCAAAAAAAGACACGCAACTCTTATCAAGCTATTATATACCATCACACTATTAAGTCAATAAATGATCAGCAAAATTTCTTCTATCACTTGATTACCTCTGGGCAACTGCCTCAAACGTCTACATTCTGTGTTCAGTTTCCTCGTCTGTATAATAGGTTAACTACTGCTCCACAAGATTGCAGTGAGGAGTAAGTGACATAATATGCAAAGTTCTTGGCTCTTAGTAGGTGAGAATTTTCTCTACTTAAATGGCTTCTGATATAAAGAGTAAAAGTTTATATCAGTCTACTCTCCACTTTTGCCTAGTATCACCAACACATTATACTATCCTACAGAAAGTCTGTCAGAAGTTCTTGCTCTATGTTTAAATAGAAAAAAATAACTCAAAACTAAGCTTAGACATTAAATTTTCTTTTTAGTTACAAATTGTCCTATAATCTACATGAATAGTTTCTATTAAAGCAGCAGTTTACGGTAGCTGCCTATTTGCTGGTGTGAGGGTCTAATTCTCTCGTGAAGGGTTTGATATTCTCTCCTCTGCCCCTTCCCTCACTTTTATGGCACAAGTGATGCTACTGAATTAGCCCCTCTATCCTCCTCCCCCTTACTTGCTCACTAGAGGGAGAAAAAATGTAGCATAGGAGCATGGGTTAAAGAAATATTCCTGAGAATATTTCAACAGGGAATTCAGTTGTATTTGAGCATTTTTATACACATGAACACCCTTCTGGTTAGAGCTGATCTACATATAATGCTTATGACTGTTCTTACAAAAACAATCATTTTGAGTCCCCAAATTCTATCTTACATGAGTACTTACACAATATCAAGCTATACATCTGAACTTACTAGAATGTGAAACATTAGCAACAGGCTCAAATTAAGATTAAAATAGATTATTTTTCATGTTTCCCATGTATATGTAAATTAGTTGATGTGAACTCCTACTGCATTAAAAACACATCCCATTGAAAAGTTACTTTGAAGTATTTCCCTTTGTTATTACTTCCGTTTTGAAAACCCTCTATTCCCACTGAAATTTCAAATTAATCAATTGTCATGAACAAGAATATGTCACCTTTAAAAAACTAAAGTTTGGCTCTTTACCACTCTTCATGAAAAACAGATCACTGGGGTACACTCTACATACCCACAACACATGGCAAAATATACAGAAATGGATCTCTAGAAATCATTACCAACTTACTTGGAATTAGTGCTACTGGTCTTACTTTCAGGGAAGATCCAATAACAATGAGAAGATCAACTTCATCTTTGTCATACTTCATGGCTCTATGAAACTGTTCTGGTAAATTTTCACCAAAAAAGACAATCTCTGGTTTCATGATAGCAAGCGGTTCATCAGCTGGGCATCTAGGACATCGAGGAACTACCTATGTGTTCCAGGTTTTGGTTGAGGATGGAAAGAGAAAGCCAAGTCCAAGTTAGAATAGTGAACATTTCCACACTTAGCAAGAAATCATTTCAAATTTATCAAAACAGAAAAACTGGATAAAACCTAAACACTAACTATAAATGACCCCCCCACTTATTTTACTAACATACAATGAAATACAGTTGTGCTATTATCTGCTGCTAATATCTGTATAGATTCACATTTGACATTAAAGAAAATTAAGAGGAAAAAGCAACATGTGTATACATGTACATGAGTCTTAACCTTTAAAAAAATAAAAGTTTGGCAATGAGAAAACAGAAAGAGAAATTAAGGAAACAATACCATTCACCATTGCAACAAAAAGAATAAAATACTTAGGAGTATATCTACCTAAAGAAACAAAAGACCTATACATAGAAAACTATAAAACACTGATGAAAGAAATCAAAGAGGACACAAACAGATGGAGAAATATACCGTGTTCATGGATTGGAAGAATCAATATTGTCAAAATGGCTACACTACCCAAAGCAATCTATAGATTCAATGCAATCCCTATTAAACTACCAACGGTATTTTTCACAGAACTAGAACAAATAATTTCACAATTTGTTTGGAAATACAAAAAACCTCGAATAGTCAAAGTAACCTTGAGAAAGAAGAATGGAACTGGAGGAATCAACCTGCCTGACTTCAGACTCTACTACAAAGCCACAGTCATCAAGACAGTATGGTACTGGCACAAAGACAGAAATATAGATCAATGGAACAGAATAGAAAGCCCAGAGATAAATCCACGAACCTATGGTCACCTTATCTTCGACAAACGAGTCAAGGGTATAAAATGGAAAAAAGACAACCTCTTTAACAAGTGGTGCTGGGAAAACTGGTCAACCACCTGTAAAAGAATGAAACTAGAACACTTTCTAACACCATACACAAAAATAAACTCAAAATGGATTAAAGATCTAAATGTAAGACCAGAAACTATAAAACTCCTAGAGGAGAACGTAGGCAAAACACTCTCCAACATAAATCACAGCAGGATCCTCTATGACCCACATCCCAGAATTTTAGAAACAAAAGCAAAAATAAACAAACGGGACCTAATGAAACTTAAAAGCTTTTGTACAACAAAGGAAACTATAAGCAAGGTGAAAAGACAGCCCTCAGAATGGGAGAAAATAATAGCAAACGAAGCAACAGACAAAGGATTAATCTCAAAAATATACAAGCAACTCCTCCAGCTCAACTCCATAAAAATAAATGACCCAATCAAAAAATGGGCCAAAGAACTAAACAGGCATTTCTCCAAGGGAGACATACAGATGGCTAACAAACACATGAAAAGATGCTCAACATCACTCATTATCAGAGAAATGCAAATCAAAACCACAATGAGGTACCATTACACGCCAGTCAGGATGGCTGCTATCCAAAAGTCTATAAGCAATAAATGCCGGAGAGGGTGTGGAGAAAAGGGAACCCTCTTACACTGTTGGTGGGAATGCAAATTAGTACAGCCACTATGGACAGCCACTATGGAAAACAGTGTGGAGATTTCTTAAAAAGCTGGAAATAGAACTGCCATATGACCCAGCAATCCCACTTCTGGGGCATACACACCGAGGAAACCAGATCTGAAAGAGACACGTGCACCCCAATGTTCATCGCAGCACTGTTTATAATAGCCAGGACATGGAAGCAACCTAGATGCCCATCAGCAGATGAATGGATGAGGAAGCTGTGGTACATATACACCATGGAATATTACTCAGCCATTAAAAAGAATTCATTTGAATCAGTTCTAATGAGATGGATGAAACTGGAGCCCATTATACAGAGCGAAGTAAGCCAGAAAGATAAAGACCATTACAGTATACTAACACATATATATGGAATTTAGAAAGATGGTAACGATAACCCTATATGCAAAACAGAAAAAGAGACTCAGATGTGTAAACAGACTTGTGGACTCTGGGAGAAGGTGAGGGTGGGATGTTTCAAGAGAACAGCATCAAAACATGTATATTATCTAGGGTGAAACAGATCACCAGCCCAGGCTGGGTGCATGAGACAAGTGCTCGGGCCTGATGCACTGGGAAGACCCAGAGGGATCGGATGGAGAGGGAGGTGGGAGGGGGGACCGGGATGGGGAATACATGTAAATCCATGGCTAATTCATTTCAATGTATGACAAAAACCACTGCAATGATGTAAAGTAATTAGCCTCCAACTAATAAAAATAAATGGGAAAAAAAAAAAAAGAAAAAAAAATAAAATAAAAGTTTGGGACTTCCTGGTGGTCAGGTGGTTAGGAATCCACCTGTCAGCGCAGAGGACATGGGTTTGATTCCTGGTCCAGGAAGATCACAGGCCGCGGGGCACCGGGGCACACGCGGCCATGCAGGAAGAGTGGTCACCAGTGAGGAGCCCGCACTCCACAAGCAGGAGCCCCGCTCACTGCAACTAGACAAGGTCTGCGCGCAGCCAAAGTAAAATTTTAAAAAGTAGTGAGTTTGTAAAATACAATTCCCTTCTAATATGTCATCTTCTCATAATTTTATGATTTTATAATACAGCTAAGCACACTGAGTTTTATTTCTGGATGGTTTTTATTCTCTATTATCTTCTTAAAATTTTTTTGGTAATGAGCATACATGAAATATTTTGTAATGTTTAGGAAGTCAATTTCATCATTCAAAACAGATTATGGGGACGACTTTGATGGTCCAGTGGCTAAGACTCTGCCCTCCCACCGCAGGGGCCCAGGTTCCACCTCTGTCCAGGGAAAATCCCACATGCTGCAATAAATATCCTGCACAAAGATCCACAACTAAGACCTGTCGCAGTCAAATAAGTATTTTTTTTAAAAAGATTATGAAGTGATGTTTTCAACTTAAGGTAATGAAAGGTTTTTAAGTACTTCTCTGTAATCCCCCATAGTCATGGATGTTTCTGTACCACATAAATACTTTCAGGGGGGAAAAAAAGGATTGAGGCGAAAGAAACAGATCAGAGACAAGCACAAATCCTAAGATATGGGTGATAAATTACCTGATTGAAAATATCTCCTCGTACAGTTTCACAGTCAACTTTATATTTACAAATCAGGCAAGATGCTGTTGCAAAGGAACCTAAAAACAACCAATAAATACATGTTTTATTAAAGAAAATTTTCCATTTCTTAAATAAGTTATAATTAAATCTGATACTAGAAAAGCTGGAGACTTTATAAATTTTAAGAGGTTCCACAAAAGAGATGTTTATATAATGACCCTTCCCCTAAAGCTACTCTTTTAATAAAATAACCAACTCCTCCAGGACTAAAACTGCAGATTTGGAAGGTTACCATTGTATTAGCTTAACAGTTTTGTTTCAGGAACAGTTTAGATACAATAAAAGTCTATTCAAACTTGTTTTAAAGTCTTCAAATTTCTGAATTCTGTACATCTGACCGAATCAGCAGTTCCCTTGATTTCCTCAAGATGCCATGTTTTTTTCATCCATAATATCACTTTTGTAATAAAAAAAGGTTATTTAAAAGAATGTAATAGGCTTCCCTGATGGCTCAGTGGGTAAAGAATCCACCTGCAATGCAGGAATGTGGGTTCGATCTCTAGGTTAGGAAGATCCTCTGGAGAAGGAGATGACAACCCACTCCAGTATTCTTGCCTGAAAAATCCCATGGACAGAGAGGAGCCTGGTGGGCTACAATCCAGAGTTGCAAAGGGTCGCACATGACTAAGCACACTATTTGAAACTTGAATGTACACAACTGCTACATCTTTTGAAATCCAAATTAATGTTTGACATTTGATACAATTAAGAGTTGAGGCCAGTATTTCAGGTTTCGTATTTTTACAGTCTACTTTCCTTATCTGCACCTGATCAGGTAACATGATTAAATGATAAGGTTTAATCTCCATTCCTAAATGACAGCCTATTTACTAATCCTAATTTTTCCTACAAAACGAATATAACGGGAAAAGCAATTCTGAAGTTTACTAACCATGACACTGAATTATCCTTTGGATTCCTGCAACCTGCTCCAGTGTATCTATGTTCTGAGTATAGTTGCGAAGTAGTTTTCCTTCCTTATCGGACAAGGCTATGAATTTGTGACAAAGAGATGGTTGGAATTGTCCAGGATATATTTCCTAGATAATGCAAAAACCAGAAAAAACATTAAGTGTTAACCAATGTCACAGGTTTAGGTTTAACAACAACAAAAAACTACCAATGATAATTAGAAAACAATACATGACAATCTCAAAGCATCTAGATGGATGCAACACACACAAAAGGATTGTTTCTATAATACAAATAAAACTCAGCAATTAGTGAACATGGCCTTTCGGAAAGGATAAAAATCGACCTGCAAACATCTCTTATAAATGTTGATATTTTAATAAAAGAATACATACCTTAATATATATCTAATTTTTGTTGGCTGCAAATTCAGATCTTTTTTTTGTAAAGGAAAAGGGGAAAAGTTTATATTGAAGTAAAAAATACCAAAGATATGGTGACTTCTTTTTTAAAACTAAAAAAGGCACTGTCAACATAATATTTAAAATTTTTGATTCATCATTCATTATAAATATCAACCTGTTGGAAGTTTAAAGCTAAAGTTTTAATTCCTTACCAAACTTGCTTTCCTTCCACTGCACAGGCACATACTGGCATAGTCTAGGGCTGCTCATGAATGCTGAGTTGCTGGATTTTGTGTGTGTGTTTTTCCCCCCAAATAATGCTTCAATGCTGTTTCTTCTTTAAAAACAAAGAATTCAGATATACACATGGCAAAAAGATCAGAAAAAAAGTATCAATTTTGGTCCTCTCAACTTTTGACAGTGTTTTTATTAAATTTCATTTAGTAAGTAAATATGGCAAAGGAAGTTTCTTCTCTACTTTTTAATTGAAGTAGTACTTCTACTACTTCCTTACCATTCATTACCGCCTCTAACCTATTAAAGTGCTAGCAAAAAACTGGATACAACCATATGTCCACCAACAGAGGACTGGATGTAGAAATATGGTACATCCAGAAGAGTGGATTGTGCAGCCATTAAAATGAATGAGGGAGTGACCTGCAAGATGGCCCATGACATGTGAAAAAAGTCAAGTTAGTCACCAATGTGTATAGTTTTGTTTTTGTTGTTTTGTAAAGAAGCAAAAATCGGAAATATATGCAAAGCATAGATACTTTCATTTAAACAAGTCAGGAAGGATAGAAACAAGCTATAAAACTGGGAAGGGGGTTGGAGTCTTTGATTCTGATATTATACAAAAAGTTTAATAGTAAAGATTCTACATGACTTTAACTTTTAACCTACTTAATATTTCAAGTTTAAAAAACAATCTACCAAGATACCCTTTAGGTGAGAATAACTGGCATGTCTCATTATAAATCTCATTATAAATCTCATAATAAGGTCTATCACATACATGACCATATGCTGCTGAAAATGTTACATACACAAAACCCAAGAATTCTGCCTCCCAAATTTTTATCATAAAGTTCATGAACAACTCTGCAATTCAAAAAGACAATGCATATAGAAAGAAGTAACAAGTGAAGAGTTTATTAAAGCTAATGTTTATAAAAAAATTATGTCACATTATGTTTGGACAACTAGGTTATGCTCTATTAACCACTGTTTTCTCATCAGATTACTTTGTTCTAACACCAGCACCTTATGAATCTCCCCTCCAGAAATAGCTGTTAGGATTTTTTTTTAACAAATACAATATTCTAGGCAATGGACAGAACAGTAATCAGGGAAGTGCTAATAGCATGCCAGCACTACAAGAACAAACGGCTGCCTACCTTCAGAGCAAGGCTGAGCAGCAGCAAGAGTACCAGGACTCCACCCCACAGAATGAAGTTGCATGTGCCTTACTACCCACCCTTTTTAAAAGGTAAGGATTAAGAAGAACAAAATCCTGTGAGACACTAGCTCTTCTCCTCCCTGACTGCTTGAAGATGATGAACGACACAGTAACTATCCTGAGTAGAAAGTTTATGACCAACTGATTACTTCAGTAGAAACAAATGGTCATCAATGATCTTCACCATGGGTAGGAAATAGTACCCAAGACAGAAATTCAGGAGAAAAAAAAAAAAAACACCAGCCAAAATGTACAAGACCATACCAGATGTCACCCTTGTATTTGGATTCAGAACCCATTTTGGTGATGGCAAGACAAATGGCTTTGGCATGATTTTCAATTCCTGGGATTATGGGATTAAGAATGAGCCCAAACACAGGCTTGCAAGACATGGCCTGGAGGAGGAGAAAAACATCTCAAGAAGACAGCGAAAGGAAGGCTAGGACAGAATGAAGAAAAGTCAGGGAGACTGCAGAAGCCAATGCTGGCGCTGGCAAAAAGGAGTAAAGCTTCTGCAGTGACTTATCTGTGGTGACTGTGCAGACTTATCATGAAAGAATTTAATAAACTAGAACTATTAAAAAAAATAACAACAAAAATTTGTGAGATACTAGATTCAGCTCTGTACTCCAGTTTCCCTTCATGTCCAACCCACTAACAATTCAGGGTAATTCAGTACTTAGACTTACAAATCAATTCCTGTAGTTCGGAGTAATTTATGAAAGGTTTGTTTTATTTTGTAAGCTTACGTTTAATGGTTATTTGAAACTTTATCTATTTTCCTCCAAATATGCAGTAGACCATGTCTGAATCACTAGATTTAAGTACTGCATTCCAACTAAGGATATAATCTGAAATAATGGGAAAAATTTACTCTGAAAGGACTGTTTTAACAGAACTACCCCTGAATAAGGACTCACCAAAGTTTGAGATGCCACTATTTCGACAGACAGTACAAAAAGTTGTTAAGAAATTACAATTTAAATGCTCTAAGCTCCCAACCAACCCCTTAACAAGGAAAATTTGTTAAAAATCCAATCAAGGGCTTCTCTGGTGGCTCAGTGATAAAGAATCCACCTGCCAATGTAGAAGATGTGGGTTCAATCCCTGGTCCAGGAAGATCCCAGATGCTGTGTGGCAACTAAGCCCATGCACTGCAACTATTGAGCCGGTGCTCTAGAAGTCTGACAGCCGCAACTACTGAGCTCACATGCCACAACTTACTGAGGCCTGAGCACCCAAGAGTTTGTGCTCCCAAACGAGAAGCCACCAGTGAGCGGCACCATAAAGAGCAGCCTCCACTTGCCACAACCAGAGAAAGCCTGCATGAAGCAATGAAGATCCAGCACAGACCAAAAAAACAAATTAAAAAAACCTAATTAGCTGGCAGGAAATACAACTTTCAGATAAAATACACATTAATTCTTCCTGTTGGAATTGTGACATTCCAGATCTGTTCTAAGACAGGCCATCCTAAATCTGAACCTCCTTAAGTCCTATTAAGGAACCAGTCATGTCAGTTGGACCACTGTTATTGCCATAGGAATCCATTTACAATAGACTGGAAGCAGAGCTGGGACCAAATGCTTGAAATGCTATTAAAATGACAAGCTGCTTTTATAAGCTATGTCCAGAAATGTGCAAACAATCCAGTAATTGGCCACAAGCAACCAAAGTGACCAAAACTAAAGCTTCGTTTTCGCCATAGTGAGTTTTCATGTAGGAATAATGGTTTTTCTCCAGATGCTCTCTGCTTGTTTGCTTCTCACAATTTCTATCAACATGAATGAGAATCCAGTCATAGGCAGGGGTGTTAACTGCAGCCCCTTGAAAGTAGAAGGATTCACCAAAGTTTGAGATGCCACAATTTCAATTGGTAGTAGGAAGAGTTGTTAAGAAACTAGAATCTAAATTTTCCAAGGTCCCAAAAAGTAAGTGAAACCAAATCATCATAGTAATGAAAAATCTTCATAATCCCTAGTCTTCTTTCACTCATTCCACAAAATTATAGACTACTCAGGATCTTTATCCTAGTCAAAAACTTGTAAATCAGTCACCTGACAAATCTACCTACTTTTCCCCCCATTAAAAAGCTGGTTTCCTCCACTTTTTCCACACTGGGACACCAGATGCCAAGTATCTAAGGTTCTGCAGGCCATCTGGCCTCCTGTCTCTACGGTCTGTATTCCAGCCACCCAAGTCCTCCACCGTAGCATTTAAGCAGCCACAGGGACATGTCCATGAAGGAGCATGGCTGTGTTCCAGTGAGACTTGACACCAGAATTTCATATAACGTTCACATGATGTAAAGTTTTATTCTTTTTATTTTTTTTTCATATCCATTTAGAAGTTTTAGCTCATAGTTGTAAATAAACAGGCAGTGGGCCCCATCTGGACTAAGGCTGTAGTTTGCTGGCCCCTGTACTAACATAACATTAAGAGAATTTCAATTAGTGAAGCTATTCATTAATACGTAATGTATGTCCCAGGTATAACAGCAGCACTTTATAATAATGCTGCATACTGGGCTGAGGACTGGAATTTTACATTTTCAAGGACTGTAAAGGAAAAGAACACGGTATGACAGAGTTCCCATGTGGCCCACAAAGCAGGTTACATTTACTACCAAGACCTGTACAGAAAAAATCTGTTGATCCTCCTTTCTAGACATATACATCCCCTTCTTGCAAGTGAGAAAACCAAAGCACAGAAGTAACACCAAAAGTCACAAAAGCCAGTAAGTAGCAGAACTATCATTCAAACCCAGTTTTGATGCCAAAGTGCAGCTCTTGGCCACAATGCAATTTCTGACCCCTCAACTTCATGTTCCCTGTTTTTTCTTCAAGTGAAGTACCATTTCTATTAGGTACTGCAAATCAGTCTACTGAGACTAATCTAGTTAAGTATATTTCACATTGCACATCCCGCATGGGATTACTAGAGACGAATTCTAATCACCCACCAACACTCTTCAAGAACGTATGTTCTCACAACTTTCTTGATGGCACAGTGGCTAAGAATCCACTTGCCAATGCAGGGCACATGGGTTCAATCCCTACACCAGGGAGATTTCAAATGGCACAGAGCAACCAAGCCCGTGCACAACTACTGAGCCTGTGCGCTGCAGGCACTGAGGCCGAGGCACCCGCAGCGTGCGCTCTGCCAACAGAGAAGCCTCCATGAGAAGCCAGCGCGCTGGGACGAAGAGCAGCCCCTACTTGCTGCAGCTCCAGAAAGTCTGAGGAACACACCAAAGGCCCAGTGC